CCCATGTGTTGCCATTCTTGAGGACTCAGGTATTCGTCTGTACCCTGTAAATTCACTGTCATATCCCACCCTTCAACGAAACAGTCATGCAATCACTACTACTACACGGTAGAAACACGAATGGGACAGAGGTGCCCAAGCAAACGACTTATGTACAAACTCTCCCTCTGGTAACTTTATTATATAAATTAAAACTAATAATATATTTTTTTAAATGACCACAGACGCAAAAAATAAAATTATATCATCGTTAATCAATTGTAATATAAGTAACAATAATTTTTAAAAGTCTATCTGTCCGTTTTTCTGTAAGTTTGTTCCGTCATCACGCAAAAACTACTGCAAAAAATTGGTAACTACTGACAAACCCTCCCCCCTTACTTTTTTTTATTCTACTATACTACTAATATCGTATATTTTTCTTCCATGTAAAAATGTATGATCGATATCCATACAATTGTTTCTAGTAGGGGGAAAGGAATTGTTTTTTTTTTATGGATGATAATGGAATGGCAACACCGCCAGCGCTATCGGTATACACCGGCGGGGCACCAGTGAGGGATAATAGGTGAGAATAAAGCAGGTCAGTTAGCCCATCCTGACAAATTCAACAACGAATAAATTATGATGGTTTCCAGGGGGAACCAGGGGGCGTGGAGGTCGACCTAATAGGGTTTATTGCTAGCAATGAGGTTGCTAATCCTCATTACTAACAATCCCTTCTCCCCCCGGAAAGGAATTGTTAGTAATGGGGTCTAACTAATCCATTACTAGCAATACACTGGAAACCATCGTGGTTAGTTCTAGTAGAATTCATCACGATGGACTAACTGACCTGCTTTCATCATCACCTATCATCCCTCACTAGTTCTCCGCAAGCGTATACCGATAGCACAGGCAGGGTTACCATTCCATTATTACACGTTAAAAAAAAATCGTAGTAAAAGCTAGTTTGAAATAAGCAGCTACACACCGAACTGTATCCGAACGGAAACTCCAATTTTCGCGCCCTAGAAATCCGATAGCAAAATTAGGGTAAATGTACATAAATCGAGTTACATTCCGAATTTGGATATTGAATGAACAGAATTGAATTTGAATATGTACGGACCCCGGACTAAACGTAAATGGTATCGTGTTCTCTTGGATAATTAGATTTGTATAGATTCGAGGCATTATTATTAATTTCAATATTTGTGATCCCACTGAGCTGATCTTGTGACGGAGATTGGAAGTGGGTTAATAGAAAACCTTAAATTCTATAGATACAGTGTCTCCATAGAAATGCTTCGAGAAAAACGGATCAACTTTTTCATACACGTTTACGTGATAAATAGTTATGAGTGATTCCTTTATAACTTCTATATTTATTTTGTCTTATAATTTCTTCATCTATTTAATGCATGAACACTCATTTTATTTAAATAATACCTCAAGATATATTTTATGCGTAAGTATATATAGAACACTAATAAAAAAACTAATTAGATAATTTGACAATTAGTTTTTTTTTAATGGATGAAAATGGCATTCCCGGTAACTCCGCGCTATCGGTATACGAAGACGGGGCACCAGTGATTGGTGAGGATGAAAGCAGGTCAGTAAACCAATCGTGAAGTATTCCATGAGAAATAACCACAATGGTTCCTAGGGGAACCGCGTGGAGGTCGACCTGATCTAACAGTTCCAATGTAAAGTACATTGCTATCAATGGAACTGTTAGATCCAATTACTAACAATCCCTTTCCCCCCCTTAACAGTTACTTGTCAAAAAGTTGACCCGTTTTTATGGCTCGATGCTCTATCTATATAATCTAAGAACAAGACACAATATATCTACATTTATTTCACTGTATAAATATACTTTTTTTTTTATACAACTTAGAATGGTAAACAAGCTGACGGCCCACCTGATGGAAAGTGGTAATCGTCGCAATAAGACATGAGCAGTACCATGGACATAACAGTATACTGTTTCGCCCATGATACCCCCCATGCGTTGCCATTCCTGAGGACTCAGATATTATTCCTCTGTACCCAGTAAATTCACGCCATATCCCACCCTTCAAACTGAAACACAGCCATGCAAACACAACTGTTTCACGGTTGAAACACGAATTGGACAGAGGTACCCATGCAAACGACTTTTGTACAAAGTCTCCCTCTGGTACTATGATAGTACCGTGAACAATACAGAAAAAAAAACTTTGCTAAAAATAGGTAATTTGTTTTTTGCACTTGACAATTATTATTTAGTAACTTTATTATTATTATATCAGCCGTTAACTGTCCACTGCTGAACCTTGGTCTCCCTCATAAGGAGGGTTTGCCAGTAGTTAGCAACTACTGGCTATCCGCTTGGCAGGCGGATTGGCAACCGCAGTTCGGCATTGGTGACGTTTTAAAAAGGACGCTGCTGTCCATACCTCTACCATTAAGTTCCCTTGGTCGCCTCTTACGACGTCCACGGGAAAGGAAGGAATGGCCTATTCTATGGGATCACCATGGCTACTCATATTTATTTGTTCATACTAGTGATATATACCGATATTGATCATGATGGGAATCAAAGGGTTTTCCTTGAAAATGTCAAATCGGGGGAACAGCTATAAATTAGTAAGGCAGGTCAGTCAGCCCACCGTGCTGAATACACCTGGTATTCCACCATGGTCACCATCGTGCTGAATTCTATATGTATTCATCACGATGGACTAACTGACCTGCCTTTTCATCCTCACCAATCATCCCTCACTGGTGCCCCGCCAGTGAATACCATGAACGCAGGCAGAGTTACCATTATCATACATAAAAAACAAAATTGTAAAGAAAATAAACAACTTATTTATTTATTACTATAATTGTTTACCAACTATGTATATCCAGAATCCGTGAATCGATTAAACGGTCAGCAGCGCCAAAGCTCGTGAATATTTAATGCTATTAAATTAACTCTTTACCCGGCGAGCGGTACAGTCCGCTACGATAAACTCTACATTATTCAGGCAACAAAATAAATAACGACCAACATAATGGCTGCGCCACGCTCCAAAGATTAGTCTAAACTGTGCATGAATAAATTATGCGGACTACGCGCCGAATTTTAGAAATTTAATGGGGTTATATTGCAGATATTGGAGTCGGCAGCACCTTTGAAATTAAAATTTTTATTTGATAATACATTAAAACTTTATTTCTGTCACTTAGAAAATTTTTAGTAGAATTACATCAAAATTGAGGGTCTACCATGAAATGTTTTCCGAAATTACGGGGCCGAACGAAGCAAGAGTTTGATCTTAAAATTACATAATACACATTGTTTAAAATCGAAAATATTAAAACATCATTCCTTTGAACTTTTATAGTAGGATTTATGAAGAACGCAATGTTAAGCCCTATTTACTGGATAGATATCGCTGTGAACGTTAACATGAAATTGAGTCCGAAAGTTCGGCATTTTATTTCATGGTAGACCCCCTGCTTTATATTTTATTCACTATGGACCATATTATAACAGTTTTTTGAAACTATGAAATTTAATTATAAATATTTAAGATAATTTTAGAGTATCTAAAAATCAATTTCATTAATTCAATTTCATTAGTTACAAGAAATAATTTCTGTGATAATTTAAGACTGTTTCGCAAAAAAACCGACTCAAAATAACTAGCTAACTAGCTAGTTATTTTGAATTTGATAAAATATCTATAGGATCAATCTGAAAGTATATCATTTCAGATAAAAAAAATATCCAAATCGGTGTATAAATAACGAAGTCATGAGGTAACAAACGTAAAAAAACAACTGAATTTTCTTTTTTTAAGTCGATTGATAGCGAATAAACTACTAGTCAATGACTAGCCATGTAGTTATTTTACATAGTGCCATAGATCATTTAGTAACCATGTGAAAAAGGTATCAATACACAAACGTAAACGGGATATTTGGAAAAAAATGTGTTTATTTATTGGTACCAATGTATTATAACAGTGATTCTCAACCTTTTTTTTTTTGTTGCAGCACATATTTAACGATTTAAAAATTTGGCGGCACACAAAGAAAAAGATAAAAAATTTTTACTTACTACAACACACTGTATAAATAATTTATGACTAAAATTTTAAATATTTCCAAAATTTGGCGGCACACTTTTAAAATTTGGCGGCGCACAAAAGTGCCGCGGCACAGTGGTTGAGAATCACTGTATTACAATTTAAAAAGAAAGAATATTATCAAATGAATGAGATGACTCTGTCTTTTTTTTAATGCGTCAACATAATCATCCACCCATTGAAACCTGATGATGGGTAGAAAAAACAGGGGACTCACCTATCAAAAAGAATGAATCAAGGATTCAAAAGTATCATTAAAATCTGTTCTGAGTTAATAGAAATAAAGTAATTTACTATTAATAATAATAAATAATAAATCTCTTTATTTTCAGGTATATAGGGTAGTATACCCATAGTTTACAGTTACATTATTAATTATACAAACTATTATTATTATTTTTAAAATACACATTAATTACAAAATACAAATTTAAATTATTTCATTATAAAATCGTCGTAAGGTACGCAGTGAGGAATGCAGTCTTTACAATATGATTACTTGTTGTCATTAATCTTTGATGAAATTTTGTCTTATAATTACGTAAAATAGCAAAAAAAAAAACATTAACCCTGTTCTCTGCAAACATGCCAGATGCACTACACCGCCATGGCAAGTTGAGCATCGCTCGTACACCCTCACCTATAGGTTTTTCTTGTAGTTGCCACGCAAATATATAATGTAATAAATAAACAAGTAGACAATAAGATCAAAGAGATGGAAAGTGATAACAGTCGCCTATAGACAGGACTAAAATGGGCATTACAGATAATACTGTGACGGGCAAGGTTTTTATATTTTTCATATATTGCTATTTTTGAGAACTGAGGAATTACACCATAACGTAATCTCACTGCCAATATCCCAATATGAAGTTAAAGAAAACTAAGAAATATTTATACTCCATTTATTAGTTTCATTGTAAACTCATACACTTGATCTATTCGTCAACCTCTTATAATGTACGTTATACACGTCATACATCGCGAAATGAGACTTATATCTACGGCCTCATTACATTAAAAGATATCTCAATGTTGGTATTCCGACTTATTTTTCTAACGAAACAAATTAAAAATAATAAAAAAAAAACTTGTCTATGTCTGTTGTACACATAAAAATATCTGTCAGTGTAAAGAGGCCTTAATACATATTTAACATGCTCGGGCGCACCATAATTGACTTGAAAACGCAAAACAATTCGTTAAAATACGGCATAATCAACTAAAATGAATTAAAAATAAATTAAAAACGAAAACCTCGCAAAATTTCGAATCATCAATGTTTAATCAACAATTAAAAATAAAAAAAAAATATGGCACATAATTAAGTCCTTTACAAGGCATTTTGCCCAAATTACACATAATGCAGCATGCATGTAGAATCTGATCACTAATAATTAAAAAATCAGTTGGGTTCTTAGACCAAGAATATAGAACAGTAATTTATTTATGGTTGGTACATTATCTCCGGACTGAATTCCATTTTTGAATATTTTAACACTGAGCGAGTCAAGGACTAGTGACGTGACACTAATGTACATGCGCTATTTTTATACAAAAGTTTGAACATCAAAATTAATCTATATTCCTGTGTGGTAACTTTTTTAATAGTTGTTATTCAAAATATAAAAAAAAAAATATAAAAAAAAAGAATATTAGCCCGTAGGATGTCCCTTCATTATACGTAATATATTTTACAACTGTGTATATTTATAAATACAAATGTGCGATAATTACATTGGAAAATCGTGTTACTTACTATTTAAGTAGATATATAAATTTTGTTATTGCATATTAGTTAAATGGTAAAAATACCGTAAGTAATTCGATGAACCATTTTGTAACGATATGATTATGAACTGTGTCCAATAGTTAAACAATATTAACATGGTATCCAGTGGATTTTTAATGTAGCAATATAAGTCACTAAGAATATCCGATTTCTGAAATGTCTAACATACATATTTTGGATTATTTAATAAAAAAAAAAAGTTAAAATATTAGAAGTGACTATTGGGATCCTATGTAGATACTTCTCTTTGTATTATTTTATAACAATACACAGACACATGCAAAGAAAATATTAGATTATGTAAGAAAAAATAAAAAGTTTATAAATTTTGTAACGTTTTTAATAAGTGACAGTTGCTACCCTAGCATCAAATCGAATTTATAATTCATCAGTTTAACATTTTTAAAATCCCAAATGCGAATGATGGATGAATTAATAAAAAGGTAGAATGAATTTCCAGATACTGAAAATAATTTTAAATTAAAGTTTTCAAAAATAAACCTGTATAAATATAAATCGAAGCTAGTTATACCGAAAACTGTCACATGGCATTGAATATCCGTAAGAAATTAGCGTTTTCTGCATAAATACCTCCAATTAGTCTATTTTATGGATAGATATTCAGAAATCGAATTGTAAAAACAGATTTAAAAAAAGAATGCGATGTAAGCGCGATATCGAATATCACATAAGGGAAAAACACTTGTGAAACTGACTGTGTACAGATGGAATAAAATAAATTACAAATATGACCGGCATATTGCATTTTTATGTAAAAAAAAAGAGAAATAAATAGTATTTTTATAATTAAAATCCATCTATGACGATGTTTACACTTTTTTTTATATTAAATAACAAACCACAGATTAGAAAATTTCATATTAATACATTTATGCAATATGACCGTCATTGATAATCTATGTGTATCTTAAAGTAATCTTAACACTAAATAGGCGTACTTAAGGTAAAATTATGCATTATCTTTGGCGAATACACTGCTTACGGTACTTCGAAACTTAGAGACGAAAAAAAAGTATTACTTGATCATAAAAAACGTACGAATATCGTTGTAAAGTCTCACAAAATTTCCTATTTATAATACTGAATTACAAAACTGTTCGCTTCACACGTATGAGTAAAACTGGTACCAATTATACTTAATTCTTGTTCTACTTTATTAAATACAGCTAATACGATATATTATCAAGGATTAAGAGTGACCACGAAAATAACAGCTTCTTTTAAAAAAAAAAATAACATAAAATGTTCGTAGCAATATTTCATGTATTTATTATATTACTCCCATAAGTCAGATATGTATTATAGTAAGAAATATAGACATATTATAAGTTACATTTCAAAACCATATATTTAATATTAATTTGATTCTGTTTATAATCATAATAAATCATATCTTGTTCTAAACTTTATTCTTTTCTGAGACGCACTTTTAGTACAAAAAAAAAAGAAAAAAAGCTGTCACACGACCTGTCAAATTTTGGCGGGAATTGTTTTATTAGTCAACAGTTATTTTCATGATCACACATCGAAATTATTAAAATTTTACAATTACATTTTTTTGTGGTGTTATAGCAAGAGCAGTACTTTGTCCTTTAATATTAATAACTACGAATTTTACTTATAAACATTCTGTTTAGTTTTGCTCGTCAAATGGCAGTTTCGTTTTGCACCTTATTTACAACACTTTAAGGTTATGTATTGTATGACGATTGCTTTACTACCAATTCCACTTCTAATTCACATATCATGGAATGCTTAATTATTAATATTATTTTATTTACAATTAACTTTATGGATTATCTGTAAATAAAATAAGTTAGTTATTGTATTATAAAGAACTTATTATATACATTAGGTCCATACTATTATCTAGTTAAATCGCCTTGAGCCATCGCATTTTGTACAGTAACATAAAAAAAAAAAATTATATAAACTGCTAGACCGAAAGAGATTCTAAACAAATTAGTGAAACTTAGTGTTGACTTTCCATTCTATTAAATACATATACAAATTAATATAAAACAGTTGAATAATACAAAGGTAAGACTATTATATTATAGTAAACAATAAGTTTTCATTTATATCTATATGTACAAGTAAACTGTATAGGTAAACATGTACAGTAAGAACAAATCTCTACTTTGAGGCTCCAAGCCGCACTACGTTATTTTTTTTTATGAAAATTGCCAACAATTCATACTTGACTACTTTTTTGGCATCTCTCCACCCTACCATTAGTGTTAGCAAGCGATCGAATAACTTCACAACGTCAAAACGTTGTCCGTAACCGTTTAGACCATATCGGAGGTTCTTATAGCTACATTGAGCGAAAAACAGAGTCGAAAACGTACAATTAGGATCAGTAACGATACACTCTAGAGATTATAGAATATTTTTAGAAAAAACGTTATTGAATTGAATATAATTATTGGTCATCAGTTTATTTCGCACAGCCTTATTTATGGACTACATTTTTAGACGATACCAACGCGGGAACAGGGTTGACACACACGGTGCATTGTATATTATTAATAAATGAAACATAAGATTGTAATCTTTTCGAAAACAAATATCAAGACTTATGCAGTTAAATATAAGACTGTATCTGCAATACTGTGTCTTAATATAACTACAGACGTTACATTTTGTAAGTGACAGACTCTATCGATAATTACGATTCAGATTTTTTACGATTTGAATTGGAAATTCGACACCCCTGATTAAAAATGGTAATTGTCTCCTTTAAATCGATCGTGTACAACAACCCTTAAATCACGTTAAATTTATGTCCAATTCAAATAACAATTCATATTTGGGTATCAGATTGTAATTTTAATATTAACTTTCATTAAAAATATCATAAATAAGCATATTAAAATCTAGGCCTGCGAAATTATAAAATGCATAGAAAAATCGTAGGTTTGTGCTATTTAAAAAAATTCAATATTTTCATAATATCAAATCATGTTGTTCGTATAAAATTAAATGCATTTTTTCGCAAAATTTCATTAATTTTGAGCAATTTCCAAATGAAAGTTAATTAGGTCGTTTTCTTCAACCGTGACAATCTATTGTGCAATGCAATATATTTACAAGTTAAAAAAGAGCGTCTTTTTCTCTATTTCTCCTAAATTCAATGCATAAATTTTCGAGCAACTTATCAATCTCAACATAGGCTACGACCATTTTGACTCGGAGAAGCAAACGTCATATTCATTCAATCTTGTTCACTACCAAACACGCATTTTATCAATATATTATAAATATTATAATACATAATATGTACGTACATATTGTACATGGTGCACTCTTATTGTTCTACTATGATTAGCATAGTAATATTTGAGTGGACATAAGTTACAGCCAATCTGTTGTGACCTTAACGGTCACTAAGTCTAATAGACTTCCAATTTCAAAAACATCATTCGTTCAATTATCGTCTCGTTCGATCACAAATGCGCCGCCATGATTTCGAAATTCAAAATTACAAAATTATCGAAGTAACCAGTTCCAATATCTTTAGACTAGATATAATTAAAATGTAAGACTAAAGTCTGATATATTAATTTCTGCTTTTCTGAAGTTAACCTCAAAAATTTAGAAGTGCTTATTCGAATATGAAATCTATTACGGCGGGCGATTGTTTAATTTTGTCACATTTTCTCACCATTATAGTTCAGTGACGGCGTACAAGTCCCGTTGGTCGTGATGTTGCGTGCGTTCGGGTCGCCGGCGGTGCTGCGTCGCCGTGTTCGGTTGCTGCTGCCGCCGCGGGCGCTGCAGCGAGCGGTATTCAAGCGCTGCAGCGGATAGCGGTTGCGGTTCGGCTCGCCGCTGCGGGCGGACGGTGGCGTACTTATCCGCAGAGACGGAGGCGGCAGCGGAGGCGGAGGCGGAAGCGGGCATAGGCGCAGGCGAGAATGTTCCCAGCGACGGCATGGGCGCGGCGGGGCGCGGGCGGGGCGCGCGGGGGCCGAACGACGCGTACTTCGGGTCGAAGCGATTCAGGCTGGTCGCGCGACCGGCCTGTCCTGCAACTGTTACAACGAACACACGTCAGTACACAATCTATCTGTTGTAAATACCAAGATTTATTCCATTCAATTCATTAATAGTAATTCCTAATAAGTATAAAGTCGCTGGCAGTGTTTCTCTGTATACTTCTAAACTACGTAATGGTCTAGACATGGGTAACATGGATACCGATCCGCTATTTATATATTGGGTTCACTGGACATTGATGGCGAAAAAAAAGTCATCAACCATTTCGATATCGCCTATATTTTTTGGAATATGTTAAAAGTCTGTTATACAATATTATGGTGTGCCATTTTTTATATTTTTTTTTATTTTTTACTTTAAGCGATATTTGTTGATTCTTATCAGTTTATTAATCACAGTTGATGACTTTTTAAGACCAAATTTTTGGCGGAATTCGTAACTTGTTCAATATTTTTTTTTTGTGTCCTATTGCGTACAGAGTAACCATAATCATGTTGAGAAATAAAATTAAAGTTTTTAATACAAATTCGAATTCCTACAGGAATAAATTGCTGAAGCACTTTGTACAACAATCTTATGAACATTAACTCTAATTGTCATAATATATATTTTTTTAATATTTTTTTTAATTTAATTTACTCATAATCTTATTTTCTGATTCTGCTCACAACTTAGATTACATGTTTATTTTTGTTATTTACTTAAATTTCTTACACTGTATAATTACGTTAAAGTGAATGCTGTGAATACCTATAATAGGCATGTGCATTAATATTGTATTGTATTTAATGTTGTTATACCTATATGTTATAATGCAATATGCTGTTGGTGTTCCTTAAATAAATAAATAAATAAATAAATAAATAAAAAAAAGTAAGTATATCTATAGTAGGCATCGGTAATATCGGTACCGCTTCAGCATCTATATATTAGTTTCCTCTGGACATTAATGGCAGGAAAACGTCAACATCCTTTTCGGTATCGCCTATACCAGTGAGATATCTATATTCATTTCGATGAGATTAATTATTTCATAGTTATATATTAACAAATCAATGTTACATATATCCGTTAGTGTACCAATATCTATATATTGTACAATAAATAGATATTAATCTATCTATATATTGTGCAATATACAGATATTAGTGTAACTATAATTTGTGCAATACATAGATACATAGATATTAGTATGTATATGTAATGTGCAATATATATATATATATATATATATATATATATATTGTATAATATATAGATATACCAATATGTTTTTGAGGACAAAGCAATAAGCTGAGTTGTGGCCATTTTGTATTGCTATGGCACACTCACAAACGAAAATTGTATTTAGCTTTATGTATTTTTTTTTTTTTACCATTAATGTTATATCGCTTTTTTTATATCTATGCTGTAATTTGTGTGCTGTAAGTAAGTAATGCAAATAAATTATCTATCTATATCGGTATATACGACGCGAGCGTGTTTACCTGCGTTGTGTTCGGGTACGTGCGCGCCGCCGCCGGGCCGGTCTCAGTAGAAGTCGTTGCTCTCGAGCGTCTTGCACTGCTTGCTGAGCGTGGCGTACTTGCCGTTGTGCGGCGCGCGGCCCAGCGTGTGCGAGCCGCCCAGCGCCGCGCCGCCGCCGCCGCCGCCGCCGCCGCCGCCCGCGCCGCGCCCCAGCGTCGCGCTGCCCGACATGCGCGACCTGACGCCCAATATTACACGTTTTTTATACGCAAAAATGACATAACGGTGGAGTTATTCAATATAGCCAATGCGCTATCAATTTACTCTGGCGGAACACCAGTGTGAGATGATGGGTGAGAATGAAAGCAAATCATTTTCACGATGATTTCCAACAGGAACCACGGGAAGATCGACCTGATATGGTATATTGCTAGCAATGGGAGTTTTAGACCACATTACTAACAATCTCCTTCTTCCCAAACATTCGAAATTACACCACAGTCTAAATAACTCTTTCTTAGCAGTTGTCCAATAAATACGTCTGAATAAAACAATACGGTCTCGCAGACTGTATCTTAATATGATATAAATCCTACGTCAAGATGTTCATTCGCCTAATCTCCGAAATCCTAATTTGAATGATGTATGAAATTTTATAAATATATATTATTTTGTATAATACAAAATAATAATAATTGTTACACAATATGTGTAAAAATTAGGTTTTATCTAATTGATTTACCTTTGAAATTAATTTACCTTGCTTATTGTTACATTATTTTTTACCTCTATACTTTATATGTAGTTTATTATAATACAACTTAAAAATAACATAAACAAACGAACAATTAAGCCAACCATAAAATAGTCTACTAATGTCCAATAGTAGTATAAATAAAGAATAGACTAATTTATTTAATATTTTATTTTGTTAATAATAAATAATTTTATTAAGTGTTTCTGTAATAATATCAACAAAATTTGGTTCTTAATCTGAATCTTTATTTGAAATGTTGATTGAGGTTTCATTCGTTCATTCATTCACAAATACTCGCCTGGGTCGCTCGCGCTCTCCGAGGTCCATGAGCTGTACGGCGGCACTGTATGAAGGCGGCTTGCCGTTGGGGAAGGGCGCGGGACGCGGGAGGGTGCGGCTGGCGGCACTACTGCCGCCACTCGACAAGAACGGTGCTTGCTCCTCACCGGTGCCGCTACGTCTACAAACAAGAGATCGGATTATTAGACTAGCACCACATTGAACCATCCATCCGCAACTGAATGTTAATATTACACTTTGCAATTTGCTACTCTCGGTCACACTACAGAGAAGACGTCAATACGTCGATGTAATACCATGGAAAGTTTATGGCATCTCTTAGATAGTATGCCTTTGATATCTATTACCTTATTTTTTTATGCAACTTAAACGACCCACCTGATGGAAAGAGACATAAACAATGGGATAACACAGTATACTGTTTTGCCCATAACCCCCCCCCCCGGATGCGTTGTCATTCCTGAGGACTCAGGTGTTATGCCTCTGTACCCTGTAAATTCACTGCCCTCATGCGTTGCAATTGCTAAAAACGAACGTTTTATGTCTCCATATCGTATAATTACATATCCCACACATTAAACCAAAGTACAGCTGCTTCATGGCAGAAACACAAGTGGCCATAAAGGTAACTAAACAGATGTTTTTATACAAAGCTTACCACTAGTAAATTACTTATTAATCTTAAGAATACTCACTTTGTGTTAATATATATCCATGCGTGTGAGTCAACTAACACGATTGCTGTGAACAGGAAACCGGCCGCTACAGCCGCTAGTAGTTGCAACGTCAGCGCCTGTCGACACAAATGAGAAAATTTATAAAATCCGGATCGAAGGATCACTTCGTAACATACAAGTCCTTAGATTGGTGCTACAAAACAACAAAAGCACTGCCTTCATTACAATTGTATACTGCGAGTTGTATCATGGTGGGAGCGATATCTGACATTATATATACTTGCACCAAAACATACAGTAATAATAACAAATTATTAAAAAAGTAAACAAAGGTGAACTTATCTCTAAAAGAGATTACTTCCAATCAACTTTTACTGTAAAATGATTGTAATCAATGAGATTTTTGAGGTTGAAGTCGATACAATGTCAAATTATAACAGATACTTCTCCACAATTATTTGTTGAATCTAAAAGTAACGTTTAAGTCGTACTCGTGAGAACAAATATTGCTGTTCTAAGGAAATCGAACTCGGTAACTAAGAGTGATACGTCATATTATTATAAGCCACTTATTAAATTCGAATATTAAAAATTGTCAACTAGCTCACCGCCATACTCCGTCTCACTCGCACTATATACAACGTTACAGTGGCTATATTCTCACCTGCAGACCGGCGTCACAGGCTGCGCGTGCGCCGGCCACGAATGAAGCTCGAGCAGTACGACACTCTAGCGCCGCTGACAGCGATACTAGTGCGCGTTCCGCCTCGCCTGTACCCGCGTTCAACGCGCCTAGAGCTGGCTGTAGACCTGCATCAATAAATATATCCTTTATGTGGGTCCAATTGCTATTAAGATAAAGTTCAATTTTGACCTTGATAGTAAGATATAAATAATGAATATAAATAATTTAAAATATCATCCATAAACTTCCTTTTTAAACTGATACTTCTTTAAAGAGCATAACTCCCATTAAACATGTGAATAAATAAAAAAAATAAGACTATTAGATTGAAAGTGTTACGACACAATACTAATATTCTGTGAGATAGGCCGTCAGTCTCCTTACTGTTCTAATCGTATTATAACAAAAATACATCAATATTATTTTCCCATTAAACGTAAAGCGCTTAACTTTAACATAAATAGTTGCAACACCTAAACTATTATGTATGCATTACTAAATAAAACTTAATAATGTTTTAATTATACCAAAAAGTAAAAGTATATATACCGCCATCTTGTGGTATATGAAGGCGGCCATCTTGTCGTGCCTTACCTGGATCGTTGAAGAGTTGCGGCGCGCCGCGTGACAGTACTGCGAGCGCTTGCCGCACGGCCACCACTGCACGCTGGGCGACTCGTAACTCCGCTGTTAGTACGTTCTCGCGAGAAACCTTACACGACAGGTAGTAGTGCACCATCTGACGGACAAATAGAATCAAAATTTATTTATTTATTAATTAACATATACACTGAACAAACTTTTCACTTAATAGATTCATTAGAAAAAATATACGAAATGCTGAAATGAAATAAATGAATGCTAAAATTCAATGAGGTAAGGGACCGCCTGAAAATCAGAGCTATATAGGTACATCTTGCTGAAGGTGTACATATATAGCAACAGCTAAGGCGGCTCCTATTACCAGTAAAAAAAATTTTTTTCTTCTTTATTGTTGTTTTTTTTAACTATTATTATTGGTAATAATGTCAAGACTAGTAGTCTCAGAACAACATACAAATAAAGATTACACAATTATATAATAACATCATTATTTTATTGTAAAATTATTTAAATAGTATTTGCGTGATACAGATATTATCGATGCGATGTTACGCAGTCTGCTTGCTGACATACAAACTGACAGCACACGCGCACGCACGCACGGCCACGCACGTCCACGCGGATACAGACAGACAGGTACTCACATCGGCGGGCAGGCCGTGGCGCGCGTGGTGCGCGAGCGCAGCGGCGGGCTCCTGGCAAGCGTCGGCGGCGGCGACGGCGCCCGCCGCCAGCACGGCGCTGGCCAGCCAGCACGCCACCAGCGCGCCCAGCGCGCCCACGCACAGCAGCAGCAGCGCGCGCCGCGAGCGCCGCGCCGCCGCCGCCAGCAGCGCCACGCACACCGCGCCGCCGCAGCACCAGCCCGCCATGCCGCCCGCCCACCGCGCCGCCTCCCACACCCACATGCGCTGCACATACGCACAAACGATATCGTCTCCATGTATTGTTGGATCAACAGTTAACTGTCCACTGCTAAACCACTCCACCAGGAGGGAAGGGATTGTTAGTAATGTGGGCGCTACCAGTCCCATTGCTAGCAATACCGTGGCAAGTCGACCTCCACGTGATTTCCCCATCACAATTCATCACAATGGACCAACTGACCTGCTTTTTCCATTATCCACCTATCACCCCTCACTGGTGCCCCGCCAGCGTATACCTTTAGCGAAGGCGGGGTTACCATTCCATTATCATCCATTAAAAAAACCTACTCCACCATAAGGGGGGTTTGCCAGTAACTGCCACACTTGGCGGGCTAGTTCACAACCGCAGTTTAGCTTTTGATGATATTTTAAGAGGAACGCGACTGCTCATCCCTCCACCATAAGCTCCCTTAGTCGCCTCTTACAACATCCACGAGAAAAGAAGGGGTGGCCCACTCCATGCCGGGACTTACATCTCCAGGAATAATAAGAAATAAAATCACCATTGCAAAAAAAAATGGAAAAACTTTATAGAAAAGTTGTTATAAAGAAGTATAACCGCTGACAAATTATACAAAAAATACATAAAACTAGTTTCAAGGGCAATCCTAAGCCTATGTTTTTATTTTCCAATACTATATTATTATATGAAATCACTCGGTAACAAATATTTTGCAGCACAATAATTTTTTTTTATATATACAACTTAGAATGGCAAACAAGTTGACGGCCCATCTGATGGAAAGTGGTAATCGTCGCCTATAGACATGAGCAGTAGCATGGACATAACAGAGTATACTGTTTCGCCCATGATACCCCCCATGCGTTGCCATTCCTGAGGACTTAGGTGTTATTCCTCTGTACCCAGTAAATTCACGTCATATCTCACCCTTCAAACCGAAACACAGCCAAACAAACACAGTTGCTTCACGGTAGAAACACGAATGGGACAGAGGTACCCAAGCAATCGACTTTTGTACAAAGTATCCCTCTGGTAAAAAAAAATAATTATGAAGAAAACTTTTCGCAGAGTTATTTTAATGGGTTTTTTGGAAAGACCATGAAAAAACACCTCTCTATCTCTATTCATTCTACTAGATTGTACCGTATATTCAAGGAGGAACAAACAATGCATACCTTCATGAAAGCATCCAAGTTGAGCGCGGCAAGTGGCCTCCTCAGATTATCAGCAGCGGAAGCCGCGATGCTGGCGTTGTTCCTCAAGGTGGAGAGAGCTCGGAGCAGCGTGCCCAGCGCGGTCTGGTTGGCCACCGGTAAGTCCAGGGCGTCGGCGAGACGAGCGAGGGGTGCACGAGCTCGGGAACCCATCGTCTCTTCCAGGATACTTGACTGGAATATTCCACAAGTGATTGATATGAATATCCAATTCCAAATAGTATTTTGATTTCAAATAAATAAAAAATAAATGTAAAAAAGTATATTACACTCTTTAACTTGCAGCCTACCCTCAAAACAATATACAATACGCCCAATAGAATAAGCATCCCGTCACCCGGATCAAATAGCGTGAACCTAAGTATTTATTATTATTTTTATCACATCATCCCATAATTTTCACAATACTTAACCTATTATGTCATATAAATGTTGCGTGTGCGCCGGTCACGTAACCATCATAAATCCTAACTTGTTTATTACTAGATATAATTAAAAATTGTATCCTACAAAAAAAAACAGACTTCAATTGTGACAACACCAGTTATTTTTTTGTTATTTGATTTAAAAACTAAGCTACCGAACCGACTTTGAACTAAATTGTATAAGACAAATCTGTATGTGTTTTCAAATAAAAAAGATTTTTCCAAATCGGTCTACAACTAACCGAGTTATAAAGAAACAAACAAAAAAATATAACCGACTAAGAACCTTCTTCTTTTTTAAATCAGTTGGAAAAGACCAAGCGATATAAAATAAGATATCCGATGTCCGCGTAGCTACCTGATTCTTCACCGTATTGACCAACGCAGCCAGCTGGTTGCCGGCCTGGATGCTCTGCAGCATCGCGTTGTGGAGGTCATCATTTCCGAATAGACCCACGCCAATGGCACCGCAACACAGCACCGAAAGTATCATCAGGGTTATCTGGAATAAGAATAAATATATTATTTATCATTATTGAGAAACGGGCTTTTTCAGGCAGAAAAACCTGTGATTCTCAACTTTCCATAATCTTTTATCTATCTATCTATCCATTTAAGAGCTGCGCTCTTGACGGTGGAGCTCTTGCCACTCATTACGATTTTCAGCGAGTCTCTTCACCTCTTGATACGACACGACACCAACTCCTTCCTTGATCTGCCTAATGTAACTATGTCTCGGTCTCCCTCTCCCCCTTCTTCCTTCTATCTTATATACTCGCTTTTTTTTAAATTTCGCTACTCCCAATCGATATCTGAGGGAGACTATGTATAAAAGTCGTTTGCTTGGGTACCTCTGTTCCATGCGTGTTTCCACCGTGAACCAGTGGGTGTTTGTATGGCTGTGTTTCGGTTTGAAGAATACAGTACAAAGGTACAGTAAATACGGTACAGAGGAATAACACCTGAATCCTCAGGAATGGCAACGCATAGGGGGTATCATGGGCGAAACAGTATACTCAGTTATGTCCATAGTGCTGTTTAAGTCTAAAGGCGACGGTTACCACTTCCCGTCAGGTGGGCCGTCAGCATGTTTGCCATTCTAAGTTGCATAAAAAAAAACTATTTTCTATCAATGATAGGAATTTCAAAATGTTCTTTGTAATGATATTTTTTTAACTTAATTTGAAGATATAAATAATTTTAAGAAACTCAATTTTTATAATTTTTCAACCCAAGTGTCATTGAAAAATATACTCAATTTTAATAATATCAGACTCGCTTCTCAATATTTCCACTTCAGCTCGTCGTATAAACCTTATTACTAAGGGGGGAAAGGGATTGTTAGCAATGGAGTTTGATAGCCCCATTACTAGCAATATGCCCTATTAGGTCGACCTCCACGTGGTTCCCCCTGGAAACCATCGTGAACAAGTTTTGTTGAATTCGTCACGATGGGCTAACTGACCTACTTCATCCTCACCTATCATCCTTCACTGGTGCCCCGCCGGTGTATACCGATAGCGCGGGTGGGTTTACCATTCCATTATCATCCATTAAAAAAGAAAAACCTTATTACTAAATATGCGCAAGTATATTACACGACCTAATTACACTAAAGTCTTCTATCACATCTGTGAACAATTTTATGGGCCTGTGTTTTTAATAACTAAAACAAAAGTGGATAAACTATACTCTCCACATATCGGCCATATGGCGTTGGTATTATTTCTGTGAGAAACGTCTGATTGTGTTCGCAGCTATCGTTTATATTTAGACGATCTCCCCCAGCGCCTATAATCACATCTTTATAGTATGATCTGTGATTCCGTTGTAAGACAATAACCTAAGCTACATGCCTAGAAATTTCCCCATCAACGCAACGAACAGATATTCTGATACGAATAATTATTACCACTATTTTAATCTTTTCTTTTTTTTTACAACGCAGGGGGCAAACGAACATGTGGCTCACCTGATGGTAAGTGACTACCGCCGCCCATGATCACCCACAACACCCGCGCCATTGCAGGTGTGCTGCCGGCCTTTTAAAAAGGAATATACTCTTTTCTTGAAGGTTATGTTGTCGTATCAGTTCGGAAATACTGCTGCTGGAAGTTGATTCCAAAGAATGGTTGTGCGTGAAAGAAAGTGCCTCGAAAAACGCACGGTGGAAGACCGCCACTCGTCCTTTCTTTTTTTATATTTGACAGTTACTTTAACAAATTATAACCTATTAAATGACCCAATGCTGGCATAATTTGAGGCATAATTTTCTCAGTTTAAGAGGATATGACTACAGCCAAGCTTGCCAGATACCATGATATAACGTTTACTAAGACTACATTGAGAGGAAATGTATTATTAGTAATGGAGTCTAACAGTTCCATAGCATTATCTGATAGACCTCTACGCGGTTCATCGTGGAAACTATCGTAAGCTGACTGACCTGTTCTCATCCTCACGTATCACTCTTCACTAGTAAACCGCCAGAAAACACCCATTAAAAGAATTACTGCATTTACAAACAGCAAAAGGAATTAAGGACTTTGAAGGGTCTCAGGCATTCCAAAAATTTTTTAAACGACAATGCTCAAGGATGGGCTAAACTCATCTACAGCGGTGGAAGACAACAGGCAAAACTCATAATGGGAGTCTTAATTGGGCATATGCCAGTAAAGCATATACTGTACAAGATCTTCAGATACACTGTGTAGATTGTTCGGTGAGAAATCGGAATCCATGAAACACTTGATGTGCAACTGCGATTCGTTGGCAAGTATGCGTATGAGTCTACTGGGAACGATTTATCCAAAACCAGGGGACTACAGATATCTTAAACCACGGGATGTAGTTAAGATAATAAAATAAGATCTATAAAATGATGGTATAAGGCAGGGGAAAGCCCAAAAGATCCCGATGGGTCGAAGTGCAACGACTTAGGTGATCCCATACGCGAATAAAGTATAAGATAATGGTATAATTCACCATACTCGGAACATACATGTGTATTTGATGGGAACGTGGAACGTAAAGCAGCTTCAGAGAAGAATAGAGAATAGCCATAATAAAATCAACAATTTTAATCCGTATTCTGTACTCTTTTAATTAGAATCCACCTTGCAACTATGATTTAATGATTGAAAACAAGATAATGACAGATATGTATAAAATTATAACTGTATTAACCTTGAGAGCAGTGATACTCCGCGGAGGTCGCTGCTTCCTGTCGCAGCATCTCGTCAGCAGGTATATAAGCAGTACTGTCAATGTCAATATTAACCACGCCCCAGGTATTGAACCGAGGATGCCCAGGCTCTGAAAATTAAACAAATATATAATTTATATTACATTATGTGTTTTAAGTTCCTTATATATATATACAAATATATATATGAAGTAGTACCACAGTATATATTACTGTTATTTACAGTGTGGTACCATTCACAGAGCTCCAGATCCAATCTGAGTCATGTAATCGTCAAGGACAGAGAATCATTGTTTGACTATAAACATAAACCTGTTCACATAGTACCAAACCATAGAGCATCTTGACCATCAGACTTGTAGTTTTTTTTTTTTTGCTTATGATAGGATCTCGCGATTGATTACAATCGCACCTAATTTTTTTTTTTTTTTTTTTTTTGTCTTTGTATATACTACGATCTGTCTCCTTGCTGGGACAATAAATAGTATTTTTGATTTATACTTTAATGGCGTGCTCAGTATGCGACTTTAGTCGCATCCTACTTTATTTTATAGAATGATGTCTTGGGGCATTCTGCGTTTCAGTCTGCGAGTTGTGTGATTTACGTCCATAAGATCTCTTGCCAGTCTGTTAGGGTGTTTTGTTATCCTCTCCTTGTAGGATTGTGTGTATTGTAGTATTTCCTGTCTAACAGTTCCAATTTTTAGGTCATGATGTAGTTGCTCGTTTGTGACAAACCAAGGAGCATTAGTTATTATTCTCAGCATTTTATTTTGGAATCTTTGTAAAATCTCGACATTGGAATGAGACGCTGTTCCCCAGAGCTGGATTCCATAGGTCCAGATAGGTTTTAGTACCGTCTTGTATAGAAGCAGTTTATTGCTCAGAGACAATTGTGACTGGTGACCTAATAACCAGTAAAGCTTTCGCATTTGTAAACCCAATTGTTTGCGTTTGGTCATTATATGTTTTTGCCAGGTAAGTCGTCTATCCAGGTACAGACCTAAATATCTTACATTGTCTGCTTGAGGGATTTCTACATTGTTAAGCTTCACTGGGGGGCAAATACCTTTTTTTAGTGTGAAGGTAACATTAACCGATTTTGATTCATTAGCTCTTATTCTCCACTTTTTTAGCCAGGATGAAATGTTATCTAAAGCCGTTTGCAGGATCTGCGTCGCAATTGATGGATCTTCGTGGGATGCTAATATGGCAGTATCATCTGCAAATGTTCCAGTGGTGACATTTTTTGAAGTAGGTAGGTCAGACGTGTATATTAGATAAAGTATTGGCCCCAGTACGCTACCTTGTGGGACTCCTGCATTGATAGGACAGAGACCTGATAATGCCTCGCCTTGTTGGACTAAAAAGTGCCTGTCTTGTATGAAGGATTTCAGAATTTTGTAGATGTAGTTGGGTAGTAAGGTTTTCAATTTAAATAATAGACCATCATGCCACACTCTATCGAATGCTTGTGAAATGTCGAGAAAAGCACTAATGCAATATTTCTTAGCTTCAAAAGACTTGTCTATTACATTTAATAGCCTGTGGATCTGATCTATCGTGGCATGTTTACGACGGAAACCGAATTGATGCTCTGGTATCAGTTTGTGTTGTTCTACTATTGGTAACATTCTCTGTGATAGCAGGGACTCATAAATTTTTGCAGGTACTGGAAGAAGGCTAATCGGTCTGTATGATTTTGGGTCTTCAGGTTGTTTGTCCGGCTTTAGTAACATAATTATTTGTGCAACCTTCCACTGGGGCGGAATAAAGTGTAGTCTGGTAATTGCGTTATAAATTGCTGTGAGTAGTGTCAAACCAGAGTCGGGCAATTCTTGTAAAATCTTATTAGTAATTAGGTCGTAGCCTGGTGATTTTTTAGGATTAGCTCTTTGGATTACATTTTTAACCTCCTTTTTCGTGAATTTTTCTGGTGTAATAAAATCCTGATCTGGAGAGTTCAAAAATTCCTTTACCTTGGTCTCGTGTTCTGGTAGACCTTCATAAGGATGAGGTTGGAAAACATTTAATAGATGCTTCGAAAACGTGTTAGCTTTTTCTTCGTCACTACGGGCCCAACTGTTATCTGCTTTTCTGAGTGGATGTGAAATTTGTATTGAAACGCACCTAATGGAAAGCGATGATGTGGTCTAAGATGAGGCTCGCGGACCCACGAATAACCTATTCACATTTGCCTTAAATTGGTGTAGATTATGTTAGGATGAAAAAACATAATCAGGAACAGAGTTCCACTTCTTGGCCGTACACATGATGAAGCAAGACTTAAAGCGCCAGTAGTTTATTATTACTCATAGAAGTCCCATCCATGCTATAACCCGAGACATTTTGCCATAACAACCTAAATAATTCAAAATGTATTCTAAGCTTAATTAAAAACGGTATAGGTCATGGTACATGATGATTTAGATGTTGAATGTTGATTCCAAGGAACGAAGAAGAACTACGGAATGCACTACAACGCCGTGACGTTCCGCGTTTTTATCAAATCTAATACCGAAGGAACTCTTGAAAGAAGAGAACTCTTGTACAATTCATCACGATGGGCTAACTGACCTGATTTCATCCTCACTTATCAACATCTCTCACTGGTGCCCCGACAGCATATACCGATAGCGCAGGCAGGGTTACCATTCCATTATCACCCATTTAAAAAAAAAAGCATAACAAAATATATACCTGGGGGGGAAGGGATTGTTAGTAATGTAGACAACCAGTCCCATTGCTAACAATATACCCTGTCAGGTCTTTCTCCACATGGTTCCCCCCGGAAACAATCGTACTGAATCTCGACGATTTTGACGATGGGATAACCGACCTGCCTTTTCATTCTCACTTATCATCCTTCACTAATGCCCCGCGTATACCGACAGCGCAGCGGGGGTTCCCATTCCATTATCACCCATTAAAAAAAAGCAGAACAGCGTACATACCTCGAGGTAGACGGGCGAATTGGGCGCGAACGTGTCATTCACCCTGTGCAGGGTGACGTTAATGTGCGGCAGTGAGTGGAGCAGCCGCGAGAGACGCGGCGGCGTGTACTCGTCAGAGACGCCCGACGCGCCCATCGCGACCTATCGCCCGCGCCGTCACCTCACCTCACACGGTCACACCTGCAACACGTACATACACGCCTTCAATACAATACAATTAATTTATAAACAAAAAATTGGCATATAATAAGTATGTAATATAAAAAATAACGCATTTGACATTTTTTTTTCATATATAAATAGTTGTAGCACTTCAGCTGCCCGCTATATATAGATTATTTTATATGTTTAACTTACAAGTGCAATAAAGAATATATGAAAATATCTTAGATAAAAATCCATTACAATAATCAACTGAAATTATTTGGGGGGAAAGGGATTGTTAGCAATGGAGTTTGACAGCCCCATTGCTAGCAATATGCCTTATTAGGTCGACCTCCACGTGGCTCCCCCTGAAAACCATCGTGAACAATTCTTATTGAATTCGTCGCGATGGGCTAACTGACCTACTTCATCCTCATCTATCATCCTTCACTGGTACCCCGCCGGTGTATACCGATAGCGCGGGTGGGGTTACCATTCCATTATCATCCATTAATAAAAAACTGAAATTATCAATTGTTGACAAATAACCTAAAATTATCTCAATTTATTACGCTAAACAATGGGTTATCTAATAATGTCCACCGTGCCCCGGTTTGAATATTCAACATGTTTTCAACAGATGCCAATCAAATTAGCACTTCTCTGCGAAGGCCCATAACATCTGGCACGAAACATGGCTGAGGGATGGGCAAATTTTTTGCATGTTATCGATTTCAAACGTAAATAGTCGACACATTCGAATCGATAAAAACAAAACTATTATTATTATCTTCCTACGCTTATCCCAATTATTATTTGGAGTCGGCGTAATGTTTTTTATACATATTACAAAAAGATTTGGCTTATAGTTTTACTACCGCCCGCCTGCCTGACGTCAACTCTCTTTGGGAATGCATTTAATAAATGTAAAAAATACTATTAAAAATATAAGTAATCGGTGGTTAGTTTCTCATAGCAAATTATGTAACGTGTTAATAAAGGAGTATTATTATTATAAAAAGTCATAGGAAAAAAAAACATTATTTATGACAGTATCTTAATATTATATATAAAGAAATTGTTGTTGTATTTCTTATTTTTTATTTTCGTAACACCAATTTTAAACTAAATCGATCGATTAAGAGAACAAAACATATTATACCAATACAAGAAAAGACAAACTCGAAATTAAACCCCAAAGCGTCTGGCAAACGTGGTAATAATAGGGTAATATTCACCACCGATAGGAATACTAAAGCCCAGCAATGGGACATTAATAAGTTAATATAATAAAGCTACCAATTCTCCATTCGTAAACGTTAAAATCGATAAATATTAATATAGGTGTCGCTTCCCTAGAGACCTCATATTAATACCATATTGTTTAACAGTACATTGTTATTTTAGGAGGCAAGTTAATGTTTTTGCATAAGATCCTTATGATAATTTTGTATCACATTATCTAATATATTGTTGTCCTTGCTATTTAATGGAATTATAACCACTCAAGTATACAAACATATAAATGAGTACAATGTATACATATAAGTAATTTTTTTTATACAACTTAGAATGACAAACAAGCTAACGGCCCACCTGATGGAAAGTGGTAACCATCGCTTATAGACATGAGCAGTACCATGGACATAACAGAGTATACTGTTTCGCCCATGATCCCCCCCATGCGTTGCCATTCCTGAGGACTCGGGTGTTATTCCTCTGTACCCAGTAAATTCACGCCATATCTCACCCTTCAAACCGAAACACAGCCATGCAAACACAACTGCTTTACGGTTAAAACACGAATGGGACAGAGGAATAAATGAAGTACAAACTAAAAATATATAATATAAATATAATAGATAATATGATGCTACCCACATATAACAATGTTGCACCAGAAGTAAAATGAATATTGCAATGAGTGTGTTTGTTTTAGATTGTGACGTATTTTATGAATACTTATGTAAAGTCAAAGTAAGTTTTTAACTAACCACTGAGATACAGGCTTGGCCTAGTTCGGTGGTTAGTAGATTAGTATTAAATGTAACTAACTGTAATTTGTTATTCAATAAAGACTAAACCAGGGGGGAAAGGGATTGTTAGTAATGGAGACTGAGAATCCCATTGCTAGCAATATACCCAACCAGGTCGACCTCCTCGCGGTTCTCCCTGGAAACTATCATGGTTAATTTCTGATGAATTCATCATAATGGGCTAACTGACCTGTTTTCATTCTCATCTATTACCCTTCACTAGTGATTCGCCAGCGTATTCCGTTAGCACAGGCGGGGTTACCATACCATTTTCACCCATCAAAAAAAAAATAAAGACTATTATTAAAAAAAATTAAAAATACTTTACTAATGCTCACTAATATTATACAATACATTTGAATGTCAGTTTGTTTGATGCCTCTTCGCGTCACAGATCAAGCAAACGTTATGTAAGTATTGTATATATTTTTTTAATGAATGATAATAGAATTGTTACACCGCCTGCGCTATCAGTATACGCTGGCGGGGCACCAATCAAGGATGATAGACAAGATTAGCAGCCGGTCAGTAAGCCCTTTATAACGAATTATACAATAATTAATAACAATGGTTTCCAAAGGGAAACCGGGTGGAAGTCGACCTCATAGATTATATTACTAGCAATAGGATTGCATGTTCCCATTGCAAACAATCTTTATCCCCTCCCTCCCCAATCATTAGAATGAAGAAGGATATAAACTACTTTAACCATGTCAAACAATATATCCATACATAAATATAACAAAATAGAATAAATAGGAATATATCAGTATTTTTGAAAGTATAATTTAAAATGGCTATTCCAAATTTATATCACAAAATGATTACTAAAATATAAGGCATATCTCTATTACTATTTTTTTTCTCTTGTTAATATATAACAAGATTTAAAAGTCAAGCGAATGAGCAACCAAATACGCCATAGTAGCCATTATAAATGTCATTCGTCCTTGTAAACCCATCAGATATCAGGTCGAACCGATAACGCAAGTTTGCGTATATTGTATGCAAACAAGGGTGTCCTTATTTATATACGAGTAACTATTTACTTAGGGCCCACTCTACGAGAGTTATTATTAAATTATTCTATGGTAATGCCTAAAGTGCCTACCATTGTTTCTGTCTACCCTAATGGGAGACAGGCGTGATAGATATATATGTATGTATATATGTAATACCTAAAAATATTACTGTAACTATTGTAACGTAATGCAATAATACTATATAAATGAATTTAGCCATCTGTCAAATGAGAGTTCGTGTTTTTCATTTAAAATTATTATACACAATTTTATAATTTACAATTACCCTAAAATTTTAACTAAAATATAATGTAACTATACGAAATTAAAATTAAATTATTTATGACTTAATGTAGTCACCTATAAATTAGAACTCTGTATTTATTTTTCAGAATTAAGCATTTTAATAATACATTTATACAGCATTTAAATTTAAATAAAATTGGACTTCATTTACTTATCTGTCAAATAGAATTTCCTATTTATCATAAAAAATTACTTTCAACACTTTTACGATTTACACTTACATAAAATTTAAACAAAAGTGAAATGTGACTTCATCTAGTCATATGACAAATAGAACTTTGCATTTATTATACATAGTTTACTTTGGGCACTTTAATAATTTACACTTGCACCAAATTTAAATGAAATGTGACTTCATTTAATCATCTGTCAAATGAAACCATGTATTTATCATACAGGATCACTTTGAGCACTTTTATGATTTACACTTGCACTAAATTTAATTGAAATGTGACTTCATTTAGCCATATGTCAAATGGAACTCCATATTTGCTATAAAAAATTACTTTGTACACTTCTGTCTATTATTTTACATTGACACTTACATTATATTGACAAGCTACTGTAGTACAACATTATTTTATGAACAATGAAGTACTTTTATTGAAGTAATCAATTCATATTCATTTATGAGTAATAGTACTAACCGCAAAATACAATTATATCTCCACTTCTATGACGTCATAGCTGACAGTGTGCTATTGATCATCACGTCGCCGCGCGCGCACATCTGTAACAAACAAATTGAAATATTAATTAATATTCTTAGTTAATTATAATACATCAACTATTGCAATACACTTATTACGAATCAAATTATATTTTTTTTATACAACTTAGAATGGCAAACAAGCTGACGGCCCACCCGATGGAAAGTGGTAACCGTCGCCTATAGACATGAGCAGCACCATGGACATAACAGAGTATACTGTTTCGCCCATGATACCCCCATGCGTTGCCATTCCTGAGGACTCAGATGTTATTCCTCTATACCCAGTAAATTCACGCCATATCCCATCCTTCAAACCGAAACACAGCCATGCAAACACAACTGCTTCACGGTTGAAACACGAATGAGGCAGAGGTACCCAAGCAATCGACTTTTGTACAAAGTCTCCCTCTGGTAAAATATACAGTATCACCCGCGAATTTCAACCGTTGTTTTTTCACGGCACAAACTTGTAAGATATAGATCAAATGAGGAGAAGCAGTGTGCCAATATTTTTTTACTGACAAGACTATAAGTTACTATGGTATAAATTTTATCAATATCTATATTTGCACATATAGACATAAATATATAGCTACATACATGGTATATTGCTCTACATTTTGTTTAAAAAGTAAAGGATTATGTACCTACTTCCGTCCAATGAATGTTGGGACTTTATCATTATTTGCACAATGCTGAACCGTTACGTATTTCCGTAGTGTATAATGTTGGAATTATTTGCAACATGAATTATTTACCAAAAGGATACTTTGTATAATCGTCTACTTAGACAGATACTTCTGTTCCATTCATGTTTCTGACATAAAGCAGTTCTGTTTTGATTTGAACGGTAAAATATTGCTGCAAAATTACAGTATATGGAGAAAGCACACTTTAATTCTCAAAAATGGCAGTATATAAGGAATATTAGGGGTATTACAATATAGTCTGTGATGTCTATGGGTGTAATTTACACCTATAGATAACATATATCATCTTCCATCAGGTGGGCTGATATCTTTGTCATTTCAAATTGAAAAATTGATGAAATGAATTGAAAAATGAAAAAAAAAATTAAAATAAAACACAGACATGATAGTTGGCCGTGTAATCCCGGCATAGAATGTGCCACCCCTTCCTTTCAAGTAAGTGTCGTAAGAAACGACTAAAAGAACTTAGTGGTCGAGAAATGGACTGCAGCATCTCTTTTAAAACATCACCAAAGCCTAACTGCGATTGCCAACCCGCCTGCCAAGCGTGACAACTACTGGCAAACTCACCCTTATGGATGTAGCCTCTGTTCAGCAGTGGATAGTTAACGGCTAATTTAATATTAACAATAACATTTGGCATGAATTTACTGGGTACAGAGGAATAACACCTGAGTCCTCAGGAATGGCAAAGCATGGGGGGTATCATGGGCGAAATAGTACACTCTGTTATGTCCATGATGCTGCTCATGTCTATAGGCGACGGTTACCACTTTCCATCAGGTGGGCCGTCAGCTTGTTTGCCATTCTAAGTTGTATAAAAAAACACATTATATTGACAATAACAGTGATGATACAAGAATTCTGTATTGATCAGTATTGTATAACACAGTCTGTGCTCAACTGGAGTACAACATCAAATCCAAGCGTGAACCTCAAATTCACGTATGAACGAATTTAAAAATGATTGACCTTTTCTTCACCAATAAACCTTTTAAAACTTCTGAAATGGTTTACAATAAACCTTTTATAAACCACATTAGAAGTTTTCGTGATCTGGTTCCATTTATGAACTAAAAAAAACTAGAATCACCATTCCCTAATCATGATAACAATTACGTACATAGATTTTTTCAATGGATAATAATGGAGTAGTTATTCCACTTGCGTTAACGATAAACCACCAGTGAAGAATGATAGGTGAGGATGAAAAAGCAGGTTAATTAGCCCATGATGATGAATTCAATAATTTAAAAAATAATTCTAATCAAATAATCAGTAAATTCACTTGAAAATGAGCATTATGGTTTCCAGGGAAAACCGCGAAAAACCGGAAGGACTTAACAGGATGTATTGCTAGCAATGGGTCTATTGATCCTCGTCACTGGGGGGAAAGGGATTGTTACTAATGGAGACTGAGAATCCCATTACTAGCAATATACCCAACCAGGTCGACCTTCTCGCGGTTCTTCCTGGAAACTATCATGGTTAATTTCTGATGTATTCATCGTGATTAGCCCAACTGGCCTGTTTTCATCCTCATCTATCACCCTTCACTGGTGCTCCGCCAGCGTATCCCGTTAGCGCAGGCGGGGTTACCATACCATTTTCACCCATCAAAAAAAATCCTCATCACTAACAGTCCTTTCTAGCAATAACAATAACTTATAATAATCCTACGTACATAGATTGAGTATAATACCCAGTATTCTCTTTCTACGATTCCGTACAATAATGGTAAGTTCAAAACTAACGTCGGTTTAAATTTCGAATTCTCTTGTTATGGAAGATACAGTTGTATTCCCCCTCGGATGTTGATATGTTCACCACAACGGATATAGTCTATTAAATCGGTATCCCACCTAGAACTAAATAAATACAGTCTTAAACATATTTACATTTTTATTAACCGGTACCGTTAAGAAGGAAATAAAAAGAACTATTATTAAAAAGCAGATAGAATTAAATCATATGGTGACATAGAGTAATAAACGTACATTAATACGATTGCAGTACATCAAACGAATTAGGGCTGTCAGTAAATTACTGTATATTTATTAAGTAGGTTCATTGCGGTCAGTGGGCGAAGAATAGAGGTTAACGAGTATTAAACGCACATTAAACAATGCGCGAGAAATGGAAAGTATTGTTTCATCCTTAGGGTAAGAGCGACTTGAATAAAGCATACAAAATGTTCACGTAGAACAGTAGTATAATTCGAAATATTCAATATCAAACCTCCACTAACAAAACAAACAAACAAAACAACACTAACAAAACAACCTGATCTTCATACTGGATAGGAGAATTCTTGTCGTATTTTTATTTTATTGTTATAACTATGTTTTTAATGATATTGATAGAAAATCTATACATAATTATGAAGCTTCCATTTTAGAACCTAAATTGAGGGAGAGCAGAAAAAGCATGTAAATGACACAAGTGGTCTAAAAATGCGTTACTTAAATACAAACAGAGGTGTCATATCTGCATGAATATAATAAAACTCTTCATATAAGAACCTTTTTCATCCCAAGAATAAAACTATAAAGTTAGCTATAAAACCACTGCCAAGTTAGAGGTAAAGCTGCATCAATCAAACGATAACTTGAAACAATTGATGTATTCTGCTGTAGATTGTGTCCGAATTATGTATATTTATAATTCAATCTAAAAGAGGCCCTCAATTGGACTGTATGTATTAACGTGATATCTTCGCAAAGTGCAGTGCCAGTATAATATTGGTTTACTTTCAGGGTCGTCACATTTTTTTTAATCTATTTTCATTGTAAGAAATATCAAAATTATTTACAATCAATCATTTCAAAACTGCCAACCCTGTGAGCGATTCACGCAACAATTGAGTCCCTCAATTTACTGGGTGCACGCAGTACTGGCCAGTATTCTGTGTCGGCCTGTCTGATAATCCCGCGCCGGGCTCGTGCCGTGATCTTTAATCTCGTGTTCAATTAATCACCCGTAACTTAATCGTGTATTTAGAATCTAGACCAATGAATACTGAATGGGACTTAAGTGATAATTATCGGTGAATTTATAAAAAGAACAGTTACAGGGTGTTAATCGCTAAATAAATTTATTACTTTGATAATAAAACATATAAAGTCTTCTATGTATTTGACTATGTTTTAGTAACGATAGTAATATGATTTTTGAGTATAAAGTCTTTTATGTATGCATTTGACTACGTTTTGGTAATGTATAGTTGTATTATATTGTATGTATTTTTATAAGTGGTGTGAAATAGTAATAAAATTGTATATTAGTTCAGTCGACATGAAGAAGCTATAAACTGTTCAGATTTATATTTCATGCGAAAATCTAGGAAAGTATTGAAGAGCAGCCTCGATGTGAGTTTATGGTTATATCAGTAAATCCAGGGAGTTTTGCCGGTTTCTATTACACGTTCCTTGATAGTATCACGGTATTTATTACATAGACATAAAAAATGGTATAGCGTAGTATAAGTTATTATGTATTTTTTAAACAACGAGAGACTATGACAGTTACGTAAGCAGTCCGAAACCGAATTTTCTTAATTATTTAGACAAAACCATATTACAATAATTAGATAAATAACAAAAGAAATCGATCTGAGGGAGAAATCAAGAATCTATGAAACTGGTATTTTTTTATACTACTGAGATGGTAAACAAGTATACGGCCCACCTAATGATAAGCGGTTACTGTAGCCTATCAACGCCTGCAATACCAGGGGTATTGCGCGCGCGTTGCCGACCCTGAAGAAACCTCTTTACGCCCCTTTTGAAGAACCCCATAATACATGAGATGATTTAAATTATAAAAGTGAATAAATCAAGACATATAGTGGACGATGGAAGTTAGTTCACTTCTTCTGCCAACTAATGGACATCAGCTTTTAACAAATGTGTTTATTTCTATAAAAATTTACATAAGGAAAGAAAAAGAAAGTATGAAACATAAAACTAATCAATCTTGATCTTTAAAATCAAGTGATCATCTTAAAATCCCTAATTTTCAATAATAAACTAACTCTGTAACCGACTGCTTTTGTGCTGAATGAGGAGAAATTGTATCCTATAATCAAGGGTATGGTCTAACTTTATACATAATTTCATTCAAGTCCGTATAGCCGTTTAAAGGTAATTAAATAAAAAAAATCCAAACATATTACATAACATTCACAATAACAATATAGTACAATTTCAAGAGTTTTCTTAGCGGATTTCATTTCAGCCGTTAACTGTCCACTGCTCTCCCATAAGGGCAGTTTTGCCAGTAGTTGCTACGCTTGGTAGGCGCGTGGTTGGCAACCGCAGTCAAGCTTTTAGATTTTTTTAAGAGAAACACTATTGGCTATTCCTCTATCATTAGGTTCCTTCAGTCGGCTCTTACGACACCCACAGCAAAGGAAGGGGTGGCCCATTCGATGCCGGGACCACACAGCCATTTTTTCTTAGCAGATATTTGTTACTTTTTTTTTATACAACTTAGAATGGCAAACAAGCTGACGGCCCAACTCATGAAAAGTGGTAACCGTCGCCTATAGACATGAGCAGTACCATGGACATAACAGAATATTTGTTTTGCCCATAATACCCCCCCCCCCATGCGTTACCATTCCTGAGGACTCAGGTGTTATTCCTCTGGACCCTGTAAATTCACGCCATATCCCACCCTTCAAACCGAAACACAGCCATGCAAATACAACTGCTTCACGGTAGAAACACGTATGGGACAGAGGTACCCAAGCAATCGACTTTTGTACAAAGTCTCCCTCTGGTACTCATTTCGTATCACCCTATACACCTACGTTCTTAAGTTATGTGACAAAACAATTACACGTCAAGAAACAATGAACACCCACACGTACTTATTCAGCAAAGTTTATACCAAAAGCGAGACGACTTGAAATGCACGTCATTCCTCCCGCATAGCTCGTATTCTAACTTAAGAGCTCTTTCAAATCGAGACCCATTTCAGTCTATAACTGGAATCGTCCCTTTATTTGTGCTAGACATGTCTAGATTGAGCGTACCTTTCTCTATACATGTTTCCTCTCGCCCACGAGTGTCATACATCTAAATCAGGACAATAAACAAGTCAGTTTAGATAGCAACCCAAGAGTGGTTGGTGCTAATGGATATTTATTGATCATTGTGTTGGCTCGAAAACAAACTGTCTAACATACATATATAACGACATATCCGGTACACCGAAATCTGAGAAAACTCTTAAACAATAATTGCGAACTGACAGTTTTTTTTTTATGAAATCATAATGGAATGGTAACCCCACCTGCGCTATAGTTATACACTAGAAAGGCACCACTGAGAGATGATAGGTGAGAATGAAAAAAAAGCAGGTCAGTTCACCCATCGTGACGAATTCAAGAATCAACCACGATATTTCTAGAAGGAACAGCATGGAGGTCAACCTGGCAGGCTATATTGCTTTACAATGGAGTCTGTTAGACCCCATTACTAACAATCCATTTCCCCTCACTGGCGGAATACCAGTGAATGATAATAGATTCTGTTAGAGACCAATTACATGTTTTTTTTTAATAATATGAAAGCCTAACTAGTGTATCCTGTTGAATCGTCTTGCACACAGTCACCTTCGAAACCATCATGGTTAATTTCGAGTAAATTTGTCCAATGACCCAACGGACCTGAACTCATCCACACCTATCGTGAGTTACCGGTACCCTGCCAACATATACCGATATTTCAGACGGTATTACCAGATCATTACCATTCATTTTTAAAAATCTGTCAGATCGAGTCGACCCTGACACCTCGTGGGACCATCACGTGTCAGTTTACGTCAGTCAAGTTGACGCGTTAAAAGCTTTCAGTCACTGGACAAGTTGACGGCATTTATAATTGGATTCATAGAATACATGAAGGCTGAATTTAACCGGTACATGCAACTGTGACTGTTTTTAAGATCGTAATAATAATACCCGACTTAGGTAACCCCTTCCTTTCCCATGGGTGTCGTTAGAGGAGACTAAGGGAGGACGATGGATGGGCAGCTGCGTCCCTCTTAAAACATCTCTAAAGCCTAACTGCGGTTGCCAATTAGCCTGCTAAGTGTTGCAACTACTGGCAAAATCCCCCAAGGGGGAGACTTATGTTCGACAGTGAACAATTAGACGCTGATATGATGATGATAGGGTAAATTTAATTTATATTTTTATTCATATGGACAGAGAGAACGAAATAGTAAGATTTTACTAGTCTGAATTCGCAACTTCATCCGCGTGAAGATAAAATGTAGCCTATGTCATTTTCTATCCCAAATATTAGGCCAAATTTCATAAACCGTTAAGGCGATAAATATAACAAACTGATTTCACAAAACTTACTACCCCAGTACGTCATTTAGTCACTTTGCTATCTCTAAAATAAACTCTATTAGTAGTAGTATAAATATGAAAATTTATAAATATATTTAGATGTTAGTTACTCAGTTACATTTAAACGACTGAACGAACTAGAGTTAATGGTATACATACAGATAGATAAACGATATAAATCTTACTAATATAATAAAAATGTAACAAGACAATGTCTGTACGTGGGATATATTTAAGTAAAAATAATATGAAATGTCTTAATAAGAGCAATAAACGCTAACGTAATTATTTTTAGAAATTTCTTCTGTCCTACTACCTATAAGAGTATATCTCTATATCTATCTATCTATCTTCTGTATGTTTGTTCTACTACCATGCAAAAACTGTTAAACCAAACTGGATGCGGTGTTCACAATAAATTTCCTGAAGATCTAACCTAAAATTTAGTGTATGTACTATTTAATATGCCATAGAAAAATAGTCTATATCTAGTAAGCAAAAAGCTGGTATAGGATACACAAGCAAATTGTATTGTAATATTTATGTATATACGTCATGTGTTACAATGTCTCATAACTTTTTTCTGCTTAGTATTCTGCTATGATAGATAGATAGGTAGAATCATTATTGTTTTCTCAAGATTACACTAGTAATAATAATAACAGTTTTTTTATTATTATTATTTAGTAGTAAACTTATTATAAATACAAACAATTACAATTACTATGCTCCATCTTTTGAAGCCAAAATTAAACAGTATCTAGGTACTGTTTTGTTTTGACTTAAAAAAGATATTTAGAAGGTAGCATCTTATTGTGCATGTGCATCATCCATTTTTATTGATATTTATGTTTAATAATTAAGTACAAATTCGCTGAGGAAATAACGACAATTTACAAAATCTGCAAATTATCCATATAACGTGACTTTAACGATAATAAATCTACGTTATCACTTACTATTGTTATTAAGGTCGTAATAGTAAATCTAATATTCATTGCATTTTCGTTAACTATCAATTTTTTAATAGGGTGTTTTAGAAATCATATTGTATATTTTTCAACCTAAGATAAGAGAGAAAAATTAAAAAAAAAATTACATATAATTTCACTGATTTGATGAAATTAGAAAGCACTAAAGAAAGAAATAAACCTTTAAAAGTTGAAAAAACATGAATCAAGACATAACTCTATATAAGTCCTAAAACATAGATAATATAATAATTTAATTACATCAGAATTTATTTTTATAGCTGTTATTATGATCTCCAAATTTATAGCTGGCAATGACAGCTATAAAAATAAATGAACGTAACATAATTTGAATTCAATTTAAAAACATTTTTTTTTATGTAACTTTCCAAATTTAATTTAATTTGTTAACTATAAAGGCCATGAACAAGCAAATTCTGAATTTATTAATGTATTCCACATTTTACGTCAATAAATTTTATTACAAATATAAACTTAATATTCCTTTGAGAGAAAATTATAAATTATAAAAGAAAATATTCAATATCATCTGTAAATACAATTTTATTCGGTACGTGACGTTTATAGGTTTCGTAGTTTTAAAAAAAAGTATGATAATAGCTGACTCATTTATAAATCAATTTTCTATCTATATTATTCTTATTACTTACAATGCATTTATTTACAGAAATATATTTATTTAATATATAAGAATACATGTTTTGCTATTTAAATATATATATCTTTGTTTACTAATTAGTTAAGTATGTAATTATATCAGCTATGTAATGCGATAAAAAGAAACACTCAAGAGGTCAACATAATGGATAACTACTGTCAGTGTACAAACGAGCCTTGGTCTATGAACATTTAAAAAAAAGTGATAATTTAAAATTAGAATACGAATATTGATTGAAAGAACATTTTGAAATAACACTTTTTCTTTTTAGAATAAAACAATGAGGTTGCTACTGTATTTAGTGGTGTTAGTGTGTGTAACAGTGTGTGTGACGTGTAAAAATCACTTCTTCGGCGAGAAGGAAGACGCACGACTCGTGTCTAGAGAAAAGATCATGTACGAAGCTATACCTTGGAAGAAACGAGTGCAATATTATGAGTACAGCGACTCACCTAGACCGATAAAGGTAACGATGTTATGTATGAACTTATTATCGAAAACGGCTACAGGTTGTGAGTACAACTAGATATTAACAAAAATGCAACTAGAAATGGCCAACAAACTGATATAAAGTGATAATAAACAGCATCGTACATGTCACAAAATACACTGTGACGCTCATGGTTTCCATACATAATAGTTAATGAAATAATAGTTTATTAAAAAATAAACGATTTGTGTGAGACTATGAAAATTTACCAGTTTCCAGTAATTATTGATACCGGACAGGACGCCCGGCATTAGCTCAAATGGTTAAAAAAACCCTGGCCCCAACATGACGTGGAAGGTACGGGTAAAACTCCCTCTCGCTTGGAGGAAAGGGATTGTTAGTAAAACTAGCAATACATCTTATCAGATCGAGCTCCACGCGGTTTTCCCTAAAAACTATTGTGGTTAATTCTTATAGAATTAGTCACGATAGGCTATTGACCTACTTTCACCGTCACCTATCATCTCTCACTGGTGCCCCGCCAGCGTATACCGATAGCAAAGGCGAGGATACCATTCTATTATTACCCATTGAAAATCTCCTGCGCAGTTGGTAATTTTTTAAACACTCGAGAATAATCATTAGAATATAATTTTTGCATTTTAATAATGTTTCTATGTCTATTTGTGTCATCGATAGACGACTGTACCTAAAACCAAAAAATAAAAAATATTAAATGTAAATTCCAGGCGATCCGTTGCTACGACTACCAGAACAGCGAGGCGTCTGTCAATATAACAGAAGGAGGTATCGGCTTCGACCACGTGACCCTGAGGATGAAGAGTCAAAGGAGTTACCGTCTGGACTACGCCATAGAAATATACGCGTGAACATGTACATTTTTTATTTATTTACTTAACTTTACATATACATATATATATTTAAAAAAATTAATGGTTGTTTTACTCTTAGATGCCTAATTAATTCCGACAAATAAGAGTTAAGATTAGATATAAAAAAAGAACAGTCATTTTAATGATGGTAAAACCAATAATTTTTATTTCAAAAACTAAACTACTGAAGTGATTTTAATTAAATTTCTATGAAACCAATCTAAAATAAAAGTATGTTCTATCAGATAAAAGAATTTCCCAAATCAGGATGATTTAAAAGAGATGGCGACTTTGTACAAAAGTCGATTGCTCGAGTACCTCTGTCCCATTCGTGTTTCTACCGTGAAGCAGTTGTGTTTGCATGGCTGTTTCGGTTTGAAGGGTGGGATATGGCGTGAATTTACTGGGTACAGAGGAATAACACCTGAGTCCTCAGGAATGGCAACGCATAGGGGGTATCATGGGCGTAACAGTATACTCTGTTATGTCTATGGTACTGCTCATGTCTAGAGGCGACGGTTTTTTTTTTTATACCACTGAGGTGGCAAACAAGCATACGGCCCACCTGATGGTAAGCGGTTACCGTAGCCTATGAACGCCTGCAATACCAGAGGTATTACGCGCGCGTTGCCGACCCTGAAGAAACCTCTTTACCCCCTTTTGAAGAACCCCATGCTGTAGTCTCTCGGGAAAACCTCGGCAGGGAGCTCATTCCATAACCTGAGTGTTCGTGGGAGAAAGCATCTCTGAAACCGCGTTGTACGCGACCATTTAGGCTGTAAGGTATGAGGGTGGACTCCCTGCCGATGGCGAGCCGTACGATGATAGAAAGTGGCCGTAGGCATCATACCACTTTCCATCAGGTGGTCTGTCAGCTTGTTTGCCATTCTAAGTTGTATAAAAAAAATGTGATTTTGTAGAATACGTAGAGCGCTGTTTTATCATCATAAGAGAATACAAATATAATTAAAAATGTGTCCTTAATTGTAATTTTTAATAATAACATTTACAATAAAAAATGCCTATGTCAGTTCAAGTAACAATCATAAAAAAATAATATTAAAAAAAATTTGCATTAAATATCAATAGTTTAAATTGAGGTTTAAAAAACAAATACCTCACACGTATTTTAAATATGTTTATATTACTTATCGGATTTAAAATTAGCAAAGATATCGCGTGATATACCTACATAAACAGTTTCGTTCAGCGAACTGAACAACCCCTTAAATTTCATGACAATTGGTTGAACCGTAAAGACGCACAAACAAACTCACTTTCACATTTATATAAATAAAAATCAAATGTCAAATGTATATAAGTATGCCAGTGCATCAATTCAGAACATCTGCACCTGTTTGGCTAATTCTATTTTTTTGTTGTATGTATTTGTAATTATCAGAAGAATATTTGTATGACAAAGACTGTTTGAAAAATCGTACGAAAGAGTAAAAAATCTGAATAAATATATCTCCATACAAAAATAAACTTAAGAGAGGGGACTTTTAGCCGAATTTTCTTCATTAGTACATCTATGCAAAGCCGGGACGAGCAGTTAGTTTATAACATCTGTAAAAATATACGACAACGTTCCGTAGTAAGCAAAAGCAAAAGGATTTCACAACGTTTTCATTACACTAACCAGTCAATAAAAAAGAATTTACTCAGAGATCATAAAACTCGAATGTGACAACAGTCTGTATTCATATGGTCCGAAACAATGGCAACATAAAACGAGCCACGGTCACAGATAATAAAGCCGTCAAACTGCGATCCCTTCCCGCGGGAACGGGCGCGAGTTCACAAACCGCTGGCCAACCTTACTCGCTGTCATGTTACGTTGACGTGACGTGTTAAATGAAGCTGCCCTCGTATTTTAGTGAACTAATCGCCTCTTTTAAACTAACGACAATATTTACACCATATGAACATAAGCCTCTCCATCAGAGTATTCTGCTGTAGTTGTCACGTTTGGCGTGAATTTACTAGGTACAGAGGAATAGCACCTGAGTCCTCAGGAATGGCAACGCATGGGGGGTATCATGGGCGAAACAGTATACTCTGTTATGTCCATGGTACTGCACATGTCTATAGGCGACGGTTACCACTTTCCATCAGGTGGACCGTCAGCTTGTTTGCCATTCTAAGTTGTATAAAAAAAAACAGGTTAGCAACTGCAGTTAACCTTTGGTGATGTTTTAAGAGGGACGCTGCTGCCCAATCTTCGACCATTATGTTACATTTGTCGCCTCTTACGATACTTACGGGAAAGGGTGAGACCCATTCTAAGTTGGAACCACAAGGCCAATATTTATATACTCAAAGTAAATAATTTTTAACTCAAAGTAAAAAGATTATTCAATAGGGAGGAAAAGATTATTAGGAACTGGGATCAGTGTGCCATATTGCTAATATGCTAGTAATAATAATATAGGATATATTACTAACAAAATCCAATCGTCCTCAACCCGGTTCACCTTGGAAACCCTTATTATTTTTACATATAACAGACTTTTAACATAATTGGATATATATATATATATATATATATATATATATATATATATATATATATATATATATATATATATATATATATATATAGCTGTATATTATTACCTACCTTTACTACTACATTATATCGTCATAGTCGTAGAATACTGACGGATCTTTATATGTAATATTTGTCAGATCTGTCAGTATTCTACGACTATGACGAAATGAATACTATTACCTACCCCTTAGTAAGTACCCCTGTTGCATTACTTTAGTACCTTTGATTGTAAAACTCATCAAAAGTGTGTCAATGTCTTTACACGACCTACGTGTTAAAGAAGTATTTTCTATTTCACATATAGGTAAGCAATTACGAGAGTACCTACATAAACGTGTTTCTCTATAAAAAGATACAAGCTTTCCTCATGTCTGCACTTGTCTGGTAGGTTGTCTGTCGAGTGTTGATGACTGTATCTGACTCTGTCACAAGAGTGAGTCATAAGACTCGTTTTTTTACCTTATTTGTACTACATTTCTTATAAGGCAGCATCCTGTCTACATCAGATGTCACTTTAATCAAATATGTAATAATCAACATGAATTAATACTTCTGTCGCACTAAATGGCCACGTTTAATAATGACGCAATTTTTAATTAATCAACTATCAATTTATAATTATATTTAATTAGTTAATTTGTCAATTACTTCAACTGCAGCAAAACTAGTTATTTTAATTTAAACCACTGAACTGATTTTAATAAATTTCTATAAGACCAATCTATAAGTATATTATAATATGTACATAGACTAAAACATACAGTAATAAGCACAAGTTGAAAAAAAAACTAATTATCAAAGCAGATGTATGTATACAAGGAAAAACCTCTTTCGCTGTCATTCTTCTGCTGTAACCTAAAAACTCGTTTATGTAATTTTATATAAAATCTTAAGCTACATCTAACCTAATATTTTTATCTGAGCTAATATAATTCTATATATAATTAATTTTCTCTATTCAATAATGCACCGCCTACGTATTTCTCAGTTTGCCCAATGCTTGACTGGTAGAGAACACCGTCCGGTGTTAAGTTCGCTAAATGTACATAGAATTTTACTGTGCATTAAAATTTAAATAAATAAATACTGTAAAAAAATATGATTCAAAATATTTAAATATTGTATTTTCAGAAAGTAATTTTTTGAGAAGAAGTTTCTGCTTCTCAAAAAATAAGTTTCTGAAAATAAAGTAGAATCATTTTTTCTATAAACCCACTTAAATAAAGTTTCGTTTGATTTATCTTTTTTTTTTTTTATTAATACATGTGTTATCGTAATATTATTATTTACTATTGAATGAAAATTAATTAACAGCTAATATTTATCAATTGGACCGAACGTCCCAGTGCCCTGTGCCCGGGAAACATGCAACCCGATAATACTATCTACAATTAATTGCTAACTTTTGCCCTAATATTATATAATATAATATTCATTTCATTCTTGTGTGTTGGAAGGAACTGGCCTTACAAGGCATAGGTTACTCTAATTTGTAAGCTAGGGCAAAAAATATGTAACAGTGCAACCCTGTATTTGTTAATAAAGGTTTATTATTATTAAAAAAAATTAATGCCGTGTGATCCCAGTATAGAAGGTAGCCCCTTCCTTTCCCGTGGGTGTCGTAAGAGGCGACTATGGGAACTTAATAGTCAAGGAAAATACTGCAGTATTCCTATAAAAACTTCATTAAAGCCTAACTGCGATTGCCAGGGGGGAAAAGGGTTGTTAGCAATGGAGTTTGACAGTCCCATTGTTAGCAATATGCCCTATTAGGTTGACCTCCACGCGGTTCCCCCTGGAAACCATCGTGCTTAATTCTTGTCAAATTCTTCACGATGAACCAACTGACCTGCCTTCATCTTCACCTATCATCTATCAATGGTGTCTCGCCAGCGTATATCAATAGCGCAAGCGGTATTACCACTCCATTTTCAGCCATTAAAAAAAAGCACCATGCACACTTGGCATTCAAGTAATCGTTTAGTGTATAATAGGCTTTATTCAAAATAAGTATACTAGTGCTTTATTTACTTTAAACGAACGTCAGGGATAGAAGAGCACAAACAATAGGTACATTTTAACGTACAGTACAATAAGGCGACCTCATTGCTGAATGCAATCTCTCCAAGACAATCTTTGTGTAACGGATTACTATTTATTCTGTGCTCTTGCTGTCCATAAAAAAAAAGAAAGAATGAAAGAAGGCAACATTATCTCGTACAAAAAAAATAACAAATAAATATACCTAACAATTTAAAATTTTATTCTAAGAAAACAGTTTTTTTTTTTACAACACAGGGGGCAAACGAGCATGCGGCTCACCTGATGGTAAGTGACTACCGCCGCCCACGATCACCCACAACACCAACGGCATTGCAAATGTGCTGCCGGCCTTTTAAAAAGGAATATACTCTTTTCTTGAAGGTTACGTTGTCGTATCGGTTCGGAAATACTGCTGCTGGAAGTTGATTTCAAAGAATGGTTGTGCGTGGAAGAAAGTGCCTTGAAAAACGCTCGGTGGAAGACCGCCACTCGTCCAGATGATTGGGATGAAACTTTAGTTTGTGGCGGGTTGTACGGTAGTGAAAATCAACAGCAGTTATTTCAACCATGACATAACATTAATGAAACCTCTCGTGTTGGTTTCCTGTCATCATCATCACCATCGCCATATCAGCTTTTAACAGCTGCTGAACATAAACCTTTCCCTTGGAAGATTTTACCAATAATTGCCACGCTTGGCAACCGGATCGACAACTGCAGTTAGGCTTTGGAGATGTTTTAATAGGGACGCGCTACTACCCATCTCTCGCCCTTCCTTAGGCCCTTATTATGATACCCACGGAAAAGGAAGGGCTGGCCTATTCTATGCCGGAACCACACGGCTTAATCTATACTTATAATAAATCTGTATAAAGGTCAATTTCGTACATGAAATATATTTCCAGAATAACTATCAGGGGGTGATTAGTGATCGGTACTGATGCCAAAAATGCACTCAGTAAAATTTTTGTCTGTCTGTCTGTGTGTTCGTTATAGAAATAAACTACTCGACGGATTTTAACGAAACTTGTTACAATTATTCTTCATACTCCTGGGCAGGTTGTAGTATTCTTTTCATCACGCTACGATCAATAGGAGCAGAGCAGTGAAGGGAAATGTTTCTGTTACATCAAAACCACTGAACCGTGAGGAAGGACATAGGCTACTTATTTAACGAAAAACGACGGAAACGCGGACGAAGTCGCAGACAACAGCTAGTAGCTAATACGTAATTAAGATTTTGATAGAAATTCCAAATATATTTCAAAATTCATGCCAAAAGTTGACTGGTAGAGAATGCTACTAACTTTTAAGCCCGCCTTTTGTACCATATTTTCTTCTGGTCAAAAAAAAGGTAAATAAAACATTTCAACTCCAATTTAATATTTGCTATAACAATATCACAGGGGGGATTCAATATTTGAGGGAGCAGATAACACTAACAAAGAGCCCAATAAATGCAGAAACGCCGCGGGAAATTGAGTTCTGAACTGTAAGTCCCGTCACGACATCGTAATAAAGTTATCGTACGACTTGAAGTGTCTGCAGCGGTAAATACGTTGGATATAGTGAGGGTTGCTATCCGTTATGAGTAGGTTTAACGGTATCCAGAACGAATACACGGAAATTAACTTTGATCACTTGAATTTAAATTATAATTGTTATGCTATTATCATTATCATCATCCTACCCTTATCCCAATTATTATTTGGAGTCCGTGTAATATGTTTTTTCTCCATATTACAAAAAGATTTGACTTATAGTTTTACAACCAGCCGCCTGCCTGACGTCAACCATCTTTGGAATTCCTTATTGGCATGATATATCTGACAAAATAAAATAGATGATTAATCTATTTATTTCCTAACTAGTGGTCCGGTTCGGCTTCGCACTGGTAGATAGAATTTTAGCACGAGTAGAAAAAAATAATGAAATGAAATAGATGTAAACTTTTTTAAAAATGATTCGAGTAATTTTTGACTTTATCCATTATGAACAAAAAATCAAATATAATATTTCCTCTTTATAATATTAGTAATGAATATAAATAATAAACTAATCGACTCATCAATACACAGTTGAAACTAGCAAATTTAGAAACGTAAAATTTTGCAATGGAATCTCTTTTCCTTACAAATATTTATAAATGTAAAAATGAGTACGTTTATTTGTTACCACACCAACCGCCTGGACCTTAAGCTAGAATACACTTTTCGCAGTTTGGTCACCGAACGGTCAACACTAGGCTCCGAGTCTAATAATATGCCCGAAGATGCCTCGTTCAGAGGTGAAATACGTATCGCAAAACGTGCATGACCAAAACGGCAGTCGGAGATTGATGGCTAAAATGGAAGGTTGTGGAACTTCTGATAGTAATAGTGGCAGTCAATCTTCGAGTGTTGACAGTCACATGGTAGCGGAATTAAACAAGACTTATTTTGTTATTCAAATAACTAGAATACAATGTTTTATGACAAAGTATTTTATAGCGCAAATACTATGTTACAACGCAAGTATATATTTATATATAAAAAAAATCTTCAAGTGCATATCTCGTTAAATAAGTAAGTAATGCTGACATCGCATTATAATGTGTGAATTTGTGATATACGCAATAGTTAACACATACCATCAAGTGGCCATCAAAACCGCGCAATAATGGGAACTCGCTTTGAGAGTACAGAAAAGGAGGGTACATAAATAAGGTTCTATTACGTAGTGAATGGAGTTAAAAGAGAAACATATTCGTAATAGAGACAAAATATTTTTAGCATATTATTACACTAAATTCTCACAAATATATACACTAGTTCTTACCCATGGCTTCGTCCGCATGACCGGAACATATTGATTGTTAAGGATAAAAGTAACCTATATTCGGCAAGGCACCAGTGAATAATGATAGGTAAGAATAAAAAGGTAGATCAGTTAGCCCATCGTGATGAATAAACCTGGAATTCAGCACGATAGTTTCCAGGGGAGGCCACGTGGATGTCGACCTGAGAAGACATACTGCTAGCAATGGGACCGGTAGTCCACATTACTTAGAGGGAAAGGTATTGTTAGCAATGGAGTTTGACAGCCCTATCAGGTCAACTTCCCCCTGGAAACCATCGTGAACAATTCTGCTTGAATTCATCACGATGGGCTAACTGACCTGTTTCAACCTCATCTATCATCCTTCACTGATGCCCCGCCGGTGTATACCGATAGCGCGAGTGGGGTCACTATTTCATTATCACCTATAAAAAAAAAAGTCCACATTACTAACAATCCCTTCCTTCTGAGCTAACAAACAAATTCACTTTCACATTAACAATATTATGCTTACATCCCGTAGGCCGCGTGTGCCCCGACATAGAATCGGCCACCCCTTCCTTTCCCGTGGATAAGAGACAACTAAGGGAGAGCGAGGGATGGGCAGCACCGACCTTCTTTTCATTTCTGAAAGCTTAACTGTAGTTACCAACCCGCCTGCCAAGCGTGGCAACTACTAGCAAAACTCTCCTTATGGAAAAGATACATATGTAAACGGCTTAAAAAAAAAAATCACGTAGACACTGGGGTAGACAGTACTATAGAACGTCAAATGATCGAACTATTTTGCTGCCTCTCAAACTCGCCAGTTATGAGTACGTACTTTTTACTTCAGTTTATAACATTGCCACATTTAATCTTTATAATAAGTTTTACACATACAATTTTGGCCAATCGTTCGTTCTCGAGTGACGAACCTACCAAACTAAATTCTATCCATTTAAAACCCACGAAACTAACGCAGAGCCTTATTAGGAGAGAGGGAGCGTGCAACGTATTGCAAACCGTTACGTGCTCTCGATTGCACTGTTGTTGGTGCAATGAACTGATCAGGTGTGCCGAAAAAATGTACACTCATATAGATATGAATAGAAAAATCTCTTAAGCAAATATCATAGGTAAATAGTTCGAGAATTCGACAATTGTTCCCACATATATTGCAGGCGTTCATAGGCTACTCTAACTGCTTACCATTAGGTGAACAGTATGCTTGTTTACCACATGTGATTTTAAAAAGAAATCTACTTCGACTTTACGTTTTCGTTTTTGTCACGCTTGGCAGGCAGATTGGCAACCACAGTTAGGCTTTAGAAATGTTTTAAGAGGGACGCTGCTGCCCGTCCCTCGCCCTCCCATAGTTGCCTCTTACGACATCCAATGGAAAGGAAGGGGTGGCCTATTCTATGCTGGAACCACATGACGACATAAGCAAAAATATCTATCTAAAAATCTATCTTTTTTTTATACAACTTAGCAAACAAGCTGACGGCCCACCTGATGGAAAGTGGTAACCGACGCCTATACACATGAGCAGTACCATGGACATAACAGAGTATACTGTTTCGCCCATGAAACCCTTCATGCGTGGCCATTCCTGAGGACTCAGGTGTTATTCCTCTGTTGATGACAGCGGCAGCATAGCAAACTATTGTTATTGATAATTGATTATTGTATTATATGATTTATTGTATTAATAAGTGATTTAAATAAAGTAAATATTATAGACTAAGTAGGCGGGCTGTTGGGAAGTTTTGTAATAAATTGGTAAATACGCTAGGGTAAGCTTCGTATTATATAGCAAATAAAGGAATATTTGCGAAGCCACTTTTCGTACAGGTATTGCTAATAATTGGACATACGAAAGCGGCTGTCGCGTCGGTATTACCGAAAGTTTAATCGGAACCCCCGAGCGTAAAATTATTGGTCCAAAAGGAGCGCCAGTGATTGGTCGGCCAATCAGAGGGCCTACATTTTTTGTGCGGGTTTGCTATATAAGCCGGGCGATTCCCTAGCAATGGCACATTCGACGGACACTCGTCCAGCAGCCAACAGCCTCGCCAGCAACGGGTAGCCAACCAAGAAAAGAAAATAAATCAGCGGTATAAGAAAAAGACCTGGTTTTACTACAGTCCCCAACATTGGGTGGTCCTTCGAGCCGGATTGAGGATTGAAGATAGAAAAAAGAAAAAATGGTGGTCACGAGGAGTCAAGCTGGCCTGGATGAAGAACGCATCGTGTTCAACCAACGCCCCCGCTCCCCTTCGGCAATCGAGCAAGCAAACGCTTCAGAGTCGAATCGACCCGCTGAAAGTCAACCCAGCCCGAACGTGGTTGACGAGTATACGGGTCGGCAAGAAATGAACGAGGGCAACAAGAACACCGTCAGCGGGGAAGATAACCACGTGGCCGCGGCGAGCGTACGCATCACACAAGCCGTACGTTCGACGCGCTCTCGCAAGTCGAATGTCAGCGCCATCGCACGAATGCAGTACGAGGCGAAACAGAAAACCGTCGCCCTTCAACGGAAGCAGCTGCAAATGGAAGCGGAACTGATCCAAATGAAGTTAGCCGCAGACATAGCAGCGTTGGAGGAAGGCAGCCAGGACGAAGAAGATGAACCAGCTGAACGAGTGGAGGATCGCGTCAACGCCTGGATGCAGGATAGCATGATCGCCTTACGGGGGGAGACATCCAGGGTTAAGGCGCAACCACCGGTTCAAGAGAACGTCCACGCCAGAAGAACGAAGCCATTAGAGAAGGTGACACGCGTTGAAGAGGACCATACGCTCCGACTGAAGGAACGATCGTTCACTCCGGGCGGCAGCCGAGACATCGAACGACTAGCGGACACACTCGAACAGATGATGAAGAGGCGCCCACCGCCGAGACAGGCTACCGATCTACCCCTGTTTTCGGGTGCGCCCTCCGAGTGGCTACAATTCGAGGCCGCCATGAAGGAGACAACGGAGGCATACCACTTCACACCAATGGAGAATCTGGCACGGCTGAGAAATTGTCTACGAGGGGAAGCCAGGGAAGCGGTAGCGCCCCTGCTAAGCGCCTCCACCCATCCAGAACAAGTGATGAACACACTAAAGCAATGTTTTGGACGGCCGGAGGTGATAGCAGATCAAATGATGGAAGAGTTGAAGCATCTACCGAAGCTTGGCGGATCACCGACGGAGCTCAACACGTTCGCTGTGAAGATGCAGAACGCCGTCGTCGTGTTAAAGAAGTTGAGAATGGGTTATCTCCATAACCCGTTAATGCTTAGGGAGGTGTTGGAGAAACTCAGCCCACATCAAAGGGCCCGGTGGTACGATTATGCAGAGTCAGAAGCAGAAGCATCGGACCAACCGGAGATCGTGCTGCTGTCAGAGTTTCTGATTAAGGAAGCCAACCGAGCACTGAAATTTGGCTTCACCACTGCTCTGGCCGGGAAAAAGGAAGCATCACGGCCGCCCTTGAAGTTTATCGAGATGAAAAAGAAGAAGCCGGTCTACACGATATGCAGCGAGGATAAAGAAGAGGAGGCTGGCCCATCCAACACGTCGGAGGACGCGAACAATTGCCCGACGTGTGGAAAGAGACATTCACTTCCCAAATGCTACAAGTTCGCTAAACTGAAGAACGAAGAGCGCTGGGACGTCGTAAGAAAAGCCAACCTCTGCTTCAAATGTATATCCGGCAAGCATAGGAGATTTAACTGTCGAGCGAAGCGCTGCGGCGTGGATGGGTGTAAATTATCCCACCATCAGCTGCTTCACAATAAAGAAGTCCATAAAGCCGAAAAGGAAACGGTGTCTACACTCACAGCCACCGATGAAGATACGGACGAGGTCGTCGTTCCCGAGGAAGAGAACATTATGGCTGTCGCTGCAACCGCTAACGAACGTGAAATCAAATTGAAGATCTGCCCGGTGACAGTAAGCGGGCCGAAAGGGAAGCTGCGAATCTTCGCGCTATTCGACGAAGGATCTACAGTGACCTTGCTGGACGAAAAGGCGGCACTGAAGATAGGCGCTAAGGGACCCATGAAAACCCTAAATATGCGCGGCATCAACACCGAACGATGCGAGACGAAGAGCCAGCAGATCACATTGAAGATTAGTGGCCAGGACAGCAGGGAACACGATATCACCGTACGAACAGTCCCTGGTCTGAAGCTAACGGGCCAGAGTGTATCGGAGGAGCTGCTGCAGTTGGGGCACCTTAAGGACCTCAAACGAGAAGAGTTGTGCTACGCGGGAGCAAAACCGCAACTGCTCATCGGTAGCGACAACTGGCAGCTGATAGTTTCAAGGGAGCTGCGCATAGGCAAGAAGGACCAACCGGCCGGTTCTAAAACACAACTTGGCTGGGTGATCCATGGCAGCCTCCCTAGAAGAATCCTCAAAATGGATGCGGAAGAAGTTCTTCACGTCGTGACAACGGAATCACTAGATACGATGGTGAAAGCTCACTTCGAGATTGACGCCATCGGTATATCGCAGAAGGTGAACGTCAATGAAGAGGCACGACGGGCGATGAACATATTTGACAGCACTGTTCGCCAACGTGAAGACGGGCATTTTGAAGTGGGGCTACCGTGGCGCAACGATAACACCAAGTTGCCGCCAAGCTACAACATTGCTCTACGGCGACTCAAGAATCTAGAGACGAGATTGGCCAAGTCCGCTGATGAAAGGCGACAATACGACGCGCAGGTGGCCAATCTTCTGAAGAAGGGGTACGCCGAGAAATGCGATGGATCAGAAGCCGGCAGTCCAGTGGCTTGGTACCTACCGCATTTCCCTGTACGCAACATCAACAAGCCAGGGAAAATTAGGATGGTATTCGACGCGGCAGCCAAGTCACACGGCAAGTGCCTAAACGACTTCCTTCTGGAGGGACCTGACCTATTCCGATCGTTGCCAGCCACTTTATTTAGATTCCGGGAAGAAGCAGTGGCGGTAAAGGCTGACATCGAGGAGATGTTCTTGAGGGTCAAGATCAGAAAAGAAGATCAGCCAGCACAGATGTTTCTATGGAGGACCGACCGACGAGCACCGCCCACGGCGTATAAAATGACTTCGATGATATTCGGGGCGGCTAGTTCTCCGTTTCTGGCGCATAGCGTTCGAAACAGAAACGCTCAAAATTTCGCAAGTTCTCATCCCGAAGCCCACGTTGCCATAACCGAGGCACACTACATGGATGACTACGTGGACAGTTACAAGGACGAGCGAGAAGCGGAAAAGGTGATGCACCAAGTGGACTACGTGCATCGCCAAGCTGGATTCCAGTTGCGAAGCTGGGAGAGCAATCGCAGAAAAGTATTACGGGACATACCCAGCGAGTTACGGGCACACGGCGCGACACAGGCCATAACTAAAAACGACAGTTATGAGAAGACGCTAGACCTGTTATGGGACTCGGCGAAAGACGTACTTAAATTTAGTACGTCGTTAAATCGAGTAAACAAGGAGGTCAAAGACGGGAAACGACCACCAACAAAGAGGGAAGCCCTAAGCGCGGTAATGAGTATATATGATCCGCTGGGGCTGTTAAGTTGCTACACCATCACTGCCAAGAGCGAACTACAGAACCTGTGGCGACAAAAGTTGGGCTGGGACGAAAGAATACCCACGGCGTCCGCTGAAGTATTCGCTGAGTGGCTAAGAAGTCTGGAACACATTAGCCATATCGAGCTGCAGCGAAGCTACAACGGGGGAGCCCAGTACGGAATCGCCAACTGCATGTGTTCTGCGACGCAAGCGAAGATGCCTACGCAGCGGCCGCTTATTGGCGGCTAGAACAAAAGGATGGGAACGTGCAAGTGATATTGGCAGCGGCGAAGGCCAAGGTGGCGCCGCTCAAGACACAAACCATCCCGCGAATGGAACTCCAGGCAGCACTGATAGGGGCAAGACTGGCGCATCACGTACGTGACGAGCATCGCTGGGACACAGATGGGATCACGTACTGGACCGACGCGCGCGTGGTGCTGCATTGGGTGAGGAACGGGAGCAAGCGATACACTCCCTATGTGGCACACCGGCTTGGGGAGATCGCCGAGCTGAGCGCCCCACATCAATGGAGATGGGTACCAACCAAACAGAACGTAGCCGACTTAGCGACGAGACCCGGCTACTTGCCACAAGACGCCGATGACGTGTGGTTCACTGGGCCAGCGTTCCTAAGACAACCGGAAGACAAATGGCCACAGAATATGCCGGAGCAGCCAAATGAAGAAAGCGAGCAGGTCGTATTGCACGTGGACAACACACGTTCGCTTTGCTTACCGGAACTGGAGCGTTTCTCGAGTTACGAACGTCTCATCAGAACGACTGCCCGCGTGTTGCTCTTCGTACAGAATTGTAAGGGCCCGAAGGGAGATTTGGCTGTTGAGCATATGGAACGAGCGGAAAACTTATGGATAAGGCAGGCACAGGAGGAAGACTTTCCAGCAGAATTGGAAACCATTCGAAAAGGCAAGCCGATATCAAAATCTAGTCGGCTATATCGCCTCGACCCTATTTATGAAAATGGAATGCTGCGTGTCCACGGGCGAATTGGTGCGGCCGACGTATCGACCGCTGTGAAACGACCCATTATTTTAGACGGGCGTCATCCGTTTACAAGGTTAATGGTGGCGCAAGAACACAAAGCGTCGGGCCACTTAAACCAAGAGAGAACGGTAAACGACCTACGGCAGAAATATTGGATCCTGAGATTGCGGCCTACGGTGCGGTCGGTAATAAGGAACTGTGCCTACTGCAAATTGAGAAGAGCCGCGCCAAGGAAAACTACGACTGGCGATCTGCCACGTGAAAGATTGGGCGCCTTCCAGAGGCCATTTTCAAATTGTGGCCTCGACTACTTCGGCCCAATGGCAGTCACCATCGGACGGCGACACGAAAAAAGATGGGGCGCACTGTTCACATGTTTGACCACACGAGCCCTACATATAGAGTTGGTGGCATCATTATCCACCGACTCGGCCATAATGGCAATAAGGAGAATGGCTGCTCGCAGGGGATGGCCCGCGGTTATGTATAGTGACAACGGGACAAACTTCCGAGGCGCAGATGCGGAGCTACGAGCCGCGTACCAAGAGTGGCAACCAGAGCTGCAAGATTTGGGACTACAGCATCGCATGAGGTGGAAATATATACCACCTGGGACACCGAGCCAGGGAGGAGCATGGGAGCGAATGGTGAGAACCGTGAAATCTGCTTTGGCGGCTACACTGAACCAGAAGGCGCCAAAAGAAGAGGTTCTCCAAACACTTATAACGGAGGCAGAGTACTCGATAAACGCGAGACCTCTGACTCATGTTTCCGTCAACCACGACGATCCGGAAGCACTGACACCGAACCATTTCCTAATTGGTTCGTCGACGGGTATGCCTCACATCGGACCGTGCAAACCAGCGGACAAGCGGACGTGGCGGGCCGCGCAAGCTCTAGCTGATGAGTTCTGGCGGCGGTGGGTACGAGAATACCTGCCCACGTTAGTGCCACGACAAAACGCCGCTCAGATGGAACGACAAATCACCGAAGGAGATTTGGTGGTGGTGGTTGACCCTACACTCCCACGCAACATATGGCCGCGAGGAATAATTACGAAAGCCTACCAAGGACCGGACGGACGAGTACGCAGCGCTGACGTCCGTACGCCGGGAGGAGTACTTCGACGACCGACATCGAAGTTGGCGGTCCTGAAGGAGAACGTCGAGCCCGCTGTCCACCAAGGAGGCTGCGTCGAGACTGCGCCGGGGGGAGACTGTTGATGACAGCGGCAGCATAGCAAACTATTGTTATTGATAATTGATTATTGTATTATATGATTTATTGTATTAATAAGTGATTTAAATAAAGTAAATATTATAGACTAAGTAGGCGGGCTGTTGGGAAGTTTTGTAATAAATTGGTAAATACGCTAGGGTAAGCTTCGTATTATATAGCAAATAAAGGAATATTTGCGAAGCCACTTTTCGTACAGGTATTGCTAATAATTGGACATACGAAAGCGGCTGTCGCGTCGGTATTAAGAGAGCTCCCGTGCCTGCAGTGAGACCGTCGTGTTCGTGCGTGATCCTTCTCGTGAGTACTCCGGGCGACCGTCGAGACTCCGAGTAGCGTCTTCCCCAGCACGTCGTGACTCCTGCGCCCCCGAGAGCCCTCCAGAGCTGCCGCCGAGCGCCGTGGGACGCCACAGCCGCCGCTACAGCTCACCGCCGAGGAATCAACTGTGCAATCGTAAGATTGTACAGTCGGATTCCTCCTACACGTGCCCGGAGCTTCGTGCTCCGTGTCTTCGTGCCGCCGCCACCGAGTAGGACCGTCCTTTTCAGGACGAACTCGAGGCCGTCAGCCCTTCTGAGGGCTACAAGCCGACGGGGAGATAGTCCGTGCACCTGGGTGCACCAGTGTAGGCACCCGTGTGCTACACGCCAGGGCACGGTCGAGTCGTAGGGCTAGGGACCGTAGGTCGTCGCGGGGGTTCTGTCCCCCCGCACCCCTCTCGGCCGTTCCGGAGAGTGTCGCCTCACGGGGAGGACAAGTGCACTCACGGTAACGGTCGAGAGCACGGTCTTCCCGGCCGTGTCGACTCCACCCCCCCCCTCCAGCATAGTAGGGATCGTTCGTGGGGTTCCAACCCCCACACCCCCCTCTTTCAAACCGTAGGGTGTCGTCTCACGGGGAGAACAAGTGCACCCACGGCGAGACTGAGGGCACCGCCTGAGTCCCCACTTGGGCGGCGTCGGTTCAGCAACCCCTTCGCCCTTCGTGGGCTACTACGTAGGGACTTAGGGTTCTAGGGACCATGTCTCAGCGCGGGGGAAAACCCCCCCGCAAACCTTTCGAGTCGGCCAAGCGGCCGACCCGCTCTTCTTCCGCGTCGGCGCCTAGGGCGCCGGCGCCCCTGCCACAGCGGCAAGCAGTGCCGAGGCAGGTGGTTTGTCGGGACCTCGCGGACCCGACAATCAGCCGACCGGTCCCAGAGACAGAGCTGGGACCGTTTTACACCCGCCGCGAGGCTAGGATTGCGCTCGCCAACCGCAACATTATTGCTGCGGAAGGAGAACGCACCGAACCGAGCGGCGACAGTACAGGCGCCACGCCGTCTACGGCCGCCAAACGCCGCACACCGCCATCCCCCGCTCTCTCGGAAATTCCTTCCGAGAAGCGGTTAGACGCCGGCGAGACACCACCGTCGCCCCGTCTCGCTCCCACACCGCGCTACGCGGACCGTGCGTCTCGCTCGGTGAACGCGCCGTGCGAGGCGCGCCCGCATTCACGGCGCGCCACACCCCCCGCTCGCCCTCGCCTGCCCCCTCTATGGACAGCGAGGACGAGCGAGTCATGGACTTTGACGCCATCGGCGCCTTGGGGCATCCCAACAGGGATGACGAAACTTCGTACGTCGCACTTGAAAGTGTCGACGTGCAAGTTCGTTCCGTGGGGACATTATCCCCCACCAAATCGTTCGCGGATGCGGCCGCGGCCGCTCCTGCGCCGCGCCCCCCAACCCCTCCCGCACCTACATCGTCGGGAGCGGCAAAAAAACAGCCTGGGCAGGGTAAATACCCACCCATTGTAGTCGAATGTCTGCCGCGGTGGACAGAACACTTTGCCGCCCTCACTCACGCTCTGGGTGAGCCGCCCAACGCGCGCCCGTTCGGACAGGGCGTGCGTTTTCTTAGCAAGACGGACAAAGAGTTCCGTCTTGTTCAAAAGTATTTATCTGAGGCCAGTGCTACCGACCCAGCGATCAGCTGGTTCTGTTACAGCCTGGCCTCCGAATTGCCCCACAAAGTGGCCATAAGAGGGCTCCCGTCCGACACGCCGTCGGACGCCGTCGCCGACGCCCTAGACAAACTGGGCTACCCCGTCAGACTGGTGCGGGGTATCCCAGCTCGCCGCGGCCGCCCAGGCTGCGTCTTCCACGCCCAGCTCGATCCCTTGAGCAAGGACGAGCTGGACCGTTTATATGCCACGCATGAACTCTTATTCATGCGTGGTATTACTATCGAGGGCTGGCGGCCCTCAACTTCCTCCCTGGCACAATGCCATAGGTGCCAGGGATTCGGCCATTCGTCGGCCAATTGTCACCGGCTTATAAAATGTGTCCGGTGCGCCGGTGAACACGCGGCCGCCGACTGTGACCGGCCGCGCGACCACAAGCCCACTTGCGCTAACTGCGCTAAACCGCACACCGCCAACGATAGACGGTGTGCGGTGTATAAGAGAGAGGCACGCCGCAGGGGGATACAAACCCGTCCTGCCGCCCCCACAGTTCCGACGTCCAACACGGGCGTTAACAGGCGCGCGGGTGCGCCCGCTCGGCCGGCGCAACCACGCGCGCAACTCCCTATGCGCGCACCCCCCACACAACGCACATTCATACCGCTTGCACCGGTCCCGGTGACAGCGGTCCCACCGACCTCGTCGGCCCGGGGCACACTCATGGCCCCGGCGAACCCACCCACGACCCGAGGCGTAGAACCTAAGCGCCGCCGGCGCAACAGGGCCGGCCGAAGGCGACGAAACCGCCTGCAACAGGCGGTCACATCTACGCCTTTTGAGGAGGTCGACCGGGCGACGCAATCACGCTCTCGGGTCGTAAATTCGCAACGGGGTATAATTCCCCCCCCAACCCAGCCGTCTCGTTTGCCGGCACAAGGGACTGCATTACCGACAGCAGTCCCGTCCGCTCGCCGCCAGATGGCGCCCGTCGCTATGGGCGAGCAACAGGTGGGGGCGTGGCCGCCTTTAGGCACCGCCCCACGCTATTCTCACAAACCTATGCGGCGGTCGGCCCAGACGACCACCCAGCCGCAACAGACGCGCGCACACCCTGCCTCGGCAGATAATGGAGCCCTAACGCTCATCATAGGGCTCCTAACAGACCTCCTCACGGCCTTAGCGGCCGGACAGGACATCAAGTCGGCGGCACTCGCCGGATTGGCCACTATTAGCCAGTACAGAGTCGCGGAGTAACTCCCTCCGCGTCGTGTACTGGAACCCCGGGGGGATACGCGATAAGGCACAAGACCTCCGTCTCCTTGCTCACACCCAGGATGTACACATCATACTCCTGGGTGAGACTCTGTTGTCTCCCAAGGAGACGTTGCGGGTGCCCAATTACTACACGTATAGGCGCGACGAGCGGTCGCCGGCCGGTAGAGCTTACCGCGGAACGGCTATACTAGTCCGCCGCGACGTCGTGCACAGTGAATTGGAGCGCCCCGAATTCCGCGTCATGCGCTCCATAGGAGTAAGCATCAACATCGACGGCGCGGAATTGAGGATATACGCCGCCTATCGCCCCCCTGGTAACGAATTCTGCCCCTCCGATGTCCGGAACGTACTGGACGGGAGGAGTCCCACCCTTTTAATGGGCGACCTAAACGCCAAACACACGGCTTGGGGGAGCCGTCTGGACACGGCAATAGGTCGTAGACTCCTCCGTGACGCCGACTGTCACGGATATGATGTGTTGGGCCCAGCGCACCCGACACACATTCCCACTAATCCTAATAGGATTCCAGACGTTCTGGACATCGCACTGACACAACATGTGCCTTGCCCGGTCAATTTGGAGGTGTTGTATGACATGGACACGCAACACCTCCCAGTTCTAGCCACGCTCGACCTCGGCACGGATATCGTGTCAAGCAGGTCGGGGCGGCGGTGTACAGACTGGACGGCTTATCGCGCAAGCCTCCAGTACATTCCCCTCGACGGCGATTTTTCAACGCCGGAGGGCATAGAGGCCGCCTCTACCGTCATACATGAGCGTATTACACAGGCGCTCGAGGCGGCCACTACCATAGTTCACTCGACGGCTCGTCGTCGGGGTGAATTACCTGTACACTTGCGCGATAAGTTGTCGCGCAAGAGAGCACTCCGCCGCCTATGGGCCCGCACCCGCTGTCCGCGGGTCAAGCGTGAGCTCAACTGCCTCGCTGCGGAGCTGTCGGACGGAGTCCGCGATTGGCGCGGCTCCTCGTGGGAGGGAGTCATCTCCCGAGCGGGAGAGCACGACCTCTCTCTCTACGCGCTCAACCGACAGCTCACTAAAGCACGACCCCCCGTCTGCCCGCTACTCGATGAGGCGGGCAGACGTCGTTACGCAGCCTCTGACCGGGCAACCATCCTGGCACAACACCTGGAGGGGCAGTTCACTGCCAATCCGGTAGCCGCCGACGCACCGCACACTGTCGTCGCGCATCACGAGCGAGTAGTACGTCGCGTAGGCGAGTTCCGCTCCGCCCCGCCGCCGGACTTGACGGAAGTCAAATTCGTCTCGCCCGGCGAGGTCAGGCGCATCATCGAGCGCCTGCCTCGGCGCAAGGCGCCCGGGGCGGATGGAATACCCACCCCGGCACTCGCCCAGCTGCCCCGTAGAGCATTGGTATTTATTACCAAACTCTACAACGGCATACTCCGGACCGGCCATTTTCCCTCATTATGGAAAATAGGTAGAGTCATAGCCCTCCCGAAAGCCGGGAAAGACAAAAGACTCCCGGCCAGTTACCGGCCGATAACACTGCTCCCGCACGTAGCTAAGACCTTCGAGCGTGCGCTGCTCCGCCGTCTGTACCCGCATGTCACCCCGCGGGACGAACAGTACGGTTTTAGGGGCGGCCACTCTACCACGCTCCAGCTTGCGCGCGTGCTCCACCACATGGCCGTCAAGCATAACCGCGGTCGACGCGTAGTCGGTGTGTTTCTCGACATAGAGAAAGCGTTCGACCGTGTGTGGCACGACGGCCTAGTATACAAGTTGGTGGAGTATACTAGCACGCCGCAAGCCTACGTGCGGGTCATAGACAATTTCCTTACCGGCCGGAACTTTTATGTAACGGTCGAGGGCACGGACTCTACCGTCCACCCCATCGCCGCCGGAGTGCCGCAGGGCAGCTGCATATCGCCAGCTCTGTACGCGACGTACACCGACGACATCCCCACCTTGAGGGATGAGCTCCTCGAGGGAGAGCGCGATGTCGTCCTCGCCCTTTTCGCCGACGACAGTGCCTATTTCACGTCGTCGACCAGTGTCGTTGCCGCCGCACGCAAGATGCAGCGGCTGCTGAACCTCCTGCCCGAGTGGCTCGACAAGTGGCGCATCGCCGTCAACGTGGGTAAGACGGTGGCGCTCGCCACTCGCTGCAGGACCCACTATCCGCCGCCTCTCAACCTCCGTGGCACGCCCATCTCATGGGAGCGCACAGTGCGCTACCTAGGGGTCGAGATAGACCGGTCGCTGCGTATGACCGCGCACGTTTCACGCGCGGTCACGCAGGCAAAGGCCGCACGCGGCATGCTGCGACCGGTCCTACGTTCCAACCTGTCGCTGCGGACGAAAGTAGGTATCTACAAAGCCTATATTCGTTCGCAGCTGACGTATGCCTCCCCCGCGTGGTACGCACTGTACTCCGATGCACAGAGGCGGCGCCTGCAGGTTCAGCAGAACTGTGCCTTGCGACTGTGCGCAGACGCTGCTAGATACGTCAGAAATGACGTCATAGCCCGAGATCTCGCGGTCCCTAGCGTGGACGAATTTGTCCGCCGGCTGGCACGCGCTATGTTCAGCCGGGCGGATAATAGCGTCCACCCCCATCTAAGGGACCTCGCCCCACTCCATGCGCGTCCCCCGGACGCAACGCGCGCATTGCCGCGAGATCTCCTGCGCACAGCAGGCACAACGCAGGGCGACGGTTCAACCGGCCCTGCACGGTCGACGACGTGAATAATTTCCCCCATTTCCCATTTCTCCCACGAGAAATGTTTTCCCCTAGCCGACACTATTTACAATAGTGTCGGCTCGGCCCTACGGGTCGAAAAAATCGACGCGTAGGCGGCAGCCTACGCAGTATGCGCCCGGGCAAAGAGCCATTGCTCGAGGCCCGCACCTGCAACCCCGTAAAGGGTTGCGGATGAACCTTTACGTTACGCGTCGGTATTACCGAAAGTTTAATCGGAACCCCCGAGCGTAAAATTATTGGTCCAAAAGGAGCGCCAGTGATTGGTCGGCCAATCAGAGGGCCTACATTTTTTGTGCGGGTTTGCTATATAAGCCGGGCGATTCCCTAGCAATGGCACATTCGACGGACACTCGTCCAGCAGCCAACAGCCTCGCCAGCAACGGGTAGCCAACCAAGAAAAGAAAATAAATCAGCGGTATAAGAAAAAGACCTGGTTTTACTACAGTCCCCAACATCCTCTGTACCCAGTACATTCACGCCATATCCCACCCTTCAAACCGAAACACAGCCATGCAAACACAACTGCTTCACGGTAAAAACACGAATGGGACAGAGGTACCCAAGCAAACGACTTTTGTACAAAGTCTCCCTCTGGTATCTAGAGCCACCATATGTAAATCCAACATTATATCTTCGGCACAATAAAATGAAATAAATAGGATAATATCATATAGTGTACTTAGTTACAAATAAAGTTATTATTTACCTATCCATAGACAATTTTTATGCATAATCATTATTTTTCGAGGTATTTAAAAATCAATCAAATGAAATATTACTCACCACAATAATTTGGCTGACATAGCACTGTACACACCCGTACCTGTAAAAATAAAAAATATATATATTTACTAGTAAGTATTTAACAATACTTCATGAAATATTGGAAGGTACGTAAATATCAATCAATTTGCTTTAAACTACTTTAAACTTTTGATATTTTATACTTTCTTTTTATACCACTGAGGTGGCAAACAAGCATACGGCCCACCTGATGGTAAGCGGTTACCGTAGCCTATGTACACCTGCAATACCAGAGGTATTACGTGTGCGTTGCCGACCCTGAAGAAACCTCTTTACCCCCCTTTTGAAGAACCCCATGCTGTAGTCTCTTGGGAAAACCTCGGCAGGGGAGCTCATTCCATAACTTTTCAACCGACTTTAAAAAATTAAGTTCTCAATTCGATTGTATTTTTTTTTATTTGTTACACATAACTCGATTTTAAATCGATTTGGAAAATCCTTTTTTTTATCTGTTTACTTATTACTGTTTACTTACAGTTGGTCCCATAGAAATTTTATCAAAGTCGGTTCAGTAATTTAGTTTTTAATCGAAATAATTTTTACCACAATTGAAGATGATTTTTCTTTTTTTGCAGACAATCTTAAATTATAAATACAACATTGTTAATGGGAACAAATGCATAGCTAATAGCGTCCAAGATTGACTGGTTGACGTTTAGAATATTTAGCTATAAGAACCTTCATGCAGCCATCGTTTCATCCCATGACGTAAACCCATAAGTGTCTATCTAGTAATGGATGCCAGTAAACTTTCCAAGAAACCAGGTCGCGACATGATCAATTACTACTCGTAAATAATGATCGATAATGATCATTACGAGCTATTGTTTATTCTAAGAACTTTCTACCTCATTGCACAAGGTAGGGCCGTGTTTGGTGAATGACGAACTAATGGGCTACAGTTTAAATATGACAGCCCAAAGAGGTTTTTTGAACCGTTAACTTTAGGTTGATCACACACGGGCGTCTATAAAACCACATATAATACCACTCATTTTGCGTCGGGGTTTAAAACCCTTTCAAATTGGAACACAGCATAGGTACAAATAAGCTACTTAATGTGGCATAATCAATAATTGAATGCAGAAAAGACTATATTTTTTTTCCAAAAGGTTACGACAATTTCATTTTTCGACACGACAATTCGTAATTTTCAAGAAAAAGCATATACCTTTTTACAATGCCGACACCGCACCTGTTTCTCCGGTATTGCCGATGCTCATGGGCGGCGGTAACCACCTATCATCAGTTGAGCCGCACAATAGTTTTTTTTTTTTTTTATTGGTGAAAATGGTATGGAAACCCCGTCTGCGCTAACGGGATACGCTGGCGGAGCACCAGTGAAGGGTGATAGATGAGAATAAAAACAGGCCAGTTAGCCCGTCATGATGAATTCATCAGCAATTAACCATGATAGTTTCCAGGGGGAACCGCGAGGAGGTCGACCTGGTTGGGTATATTGCTAGCAATAGGATTCTCAGTCTCCATTACTAACAATCCCTTTCCCCCCTCCGCACGCTAGTTTACTCTCAGTGTTATAAAAAAATTCTAACTCATACTAACAAATTTCACCTTCATTTACAACTAACTTTATTGTATATTTTCATATCATATTTGTAACAAGAAAAACAAGTTAACTACAAAGAGAAACAGAAACCAAAATACACAGGCTTACATTTGAAGGGATTTCTGACTTCTTCAATATAAAATCGCTATTTACTCAAAAGATAGTGCCGTGCGCGGTCCATCTTATAGTTTACTATAATAAATACAATGAAATCAATCTCTACCATGTTCCATAAGACATTGGTGAGACAAAACACATTTGCACCTTGACGGCTTCGGCACCATGACAATTTAGGATTAATTATGGCCCTTTACAGCTAACTAATAGCTTTTAAAGTGGTCTAAAGGAAACTGCAGGTATCATGCTCATCTGCATTATAACTGTAAAATTAAAAACGTCTTTCAGCAATTGTATCAATAGAGAACCTAATCCAATCCTATTATGTCGCCATTTTTGTTTGTTTATCAGTTGACAAGTCATATCTAAATACAAATATTTGATAGGAAATCGTTTAATTTTTTTTAATTTAACGATATTTTAACTTTCCTTTTGCAATGTATCTAGTTAAAGCACTAAAAATAATAGCAAATATGGCCTTATTTATAGAGAGAGATATTAGAGAGATATATTTGAGAAGGTAGCACTATGCTTTATTATTTGCATTTAGCATTTAATTTATACATTGAAATCATTAACTTTTAGATCATTTTGTATTCAATGTTCAGTCAGACAATGCTATATTTCAGTTCTGTATTACTTCGAGAGGCGTTATTTAGTTATGGCATATATAGGTTATAAGGCTTTATCTAATTGTAGTTGATATTGTTAATTGAACGTGATGAATTACACAAAAGATTACTACTAGTAATTAGAAAAAAATATACCAATGCAAGAGAAAGAAACTATAATATAAAATACCTATACCAAGCTTCCTGGCCAACATGGCAGAAATTTACTTTTATGAGGAAAACCTACATCCTACTGGACGATAACGAGTATTAATCATCAATATTATGTTATTTGGGATAATTATAAACAATAATTAACCTTGAACGACTGAGTCACATCCATTCTGATTGAACGAGAAAACAAATTTTATTGTTTCCATTCCATACTGAGCTATCGGCGCGTGCGCAGTGTGGCCAATGTAGTAGGTCATTGTATGTATAGTCAGCACAAAATTCTTTAGACATTATAAAATTTCCAAAACTCATAAACACCTTTGTTTGTTTAAAATTCTTTATCATCACATAACGATGGTTATAAGACAGTATCTTCTAAATAACTCAGTCAAAATTATACAGGAGACACCGAGAACATCCTAATTCTGAACTTATTCTGAAGACAATAAAAAAAAAGCAAAATAGCGTTAACCTTGGACTACCTTCCGAACTAACGCTTACATTCTGAACGAACTGAAAATGAGAGAGAGATTATCGTCGACTGTTCAAATACGAATTCTCAAGTATTTCGGCCATATCATCCGGAATAAAAATTGTATGGAACGTCTAATTGTCCAAGGGTCGGCGGCAAACGTTCTCGAGGTAGATCACCAATGCGATGGACTACCCTCTTCAAAACGGCCACACGGCGTTCTATTGTGGAATGCTCTCGCTCGGCTGCGAACAGAAGTAGATGGAGACGCATTGCGAAGACCTCAATCGCGAAGGAGGGCCTCATTGACGATCCACTATCATCATAAAAACCACGACCACTCTGTCAAGAGTGTACGACTGAAGAGAGCTTTAATATATATTTTAAATATCTAAAGTAAGAACTGCTTCTATATGTTACATATAAAAGGAGATATGTCAATATAAAAAAAAAATCTTAGGATATATTTAGATACTAGATAGTTAAAAGTTGATAGAGAAGATTTTGGTGTATGAAAGAAATAGAAGGTAGATATATAAGCGAACTTATTCTAAATAGAGAAGTCTTCCAGTCAACCATGAGATTCCCATGTTGTTTACATAAGTGGCTCAACAAAAACTGGATAATCATCGTAAACTGTCAAAGGTAGCTGAGCAAACGTATCTACATAATTATAAATCAATATTACTTTTAAACATTTTTACTATTATATAAGAAACGCTATATCCTCGAAATTTGAATAGAATATGACAAATTTGTAACGGGAATAATATACATAATTAACTGAAACAAGATTTGTAATTTTGTAAACTATAAATAAGTGATCTGTATCTACTTATATTTTCTTACGCGACAGTACATAAATAGGTAGGGTATTAAAAATCCGAACGTGTTCATTGCCTTTTGAGCTGACTCTACCAACTCAGCACAGTATTATAATACAATTTGCAATCGCCGGTTACACGTGTACGCATCAATACAGATGTATTCCAACCGTGACCCGCTTCTCGCTCGCGATGAATAGATTACTATGACATTAGAAAGAAGAGACTGTGTTGCCAGCAGTTGCCACGCTTGGCAGGCGGGTTGACAATGGCAGTATAAGATTTGGCAATGTTTTAAAAAAGATGCTACTGCCCATCCCTCCCATTATTTTTCCAAGTATCCATTATTTTCGCAGACATTAAAACATTAAAGTATTCCAAGTTAAACAAATCCCCAGAGTAGATAGATAAATAATATTTATTATTTCCTCCAAAAGATTATTATAGTAAACTTATTATAAATACAAACAATTACAAGAAACGATTAACTACGAAAACAATGGGCGACCTTACCGGTAAGAGCTACTCTTCCAGGCAACCTTTGGATGGAAAAGAGTAATTAATTAGTAGGATCAATGACAGACACTGAAGAGCCTGCACTCGAGGTTCTCAATCATCTAAACGTATCAAATACAGACAAATCGATACTACTTATTATTGTAATCGATAAGGATGTAATAGAATGATATCCTAGAAATGGGAAAAGAAAACGAGGAGGGCAAATCAAAAGATGGGAGGACGATTTACCTAAAGGATGGAGAAAGTCAGCCAGGGATAGAGGAAAGTGGAAGCAATTGGGGGAGGCCTATGTCGACAGACAACCTGACCAACATAATGGTTGCTAGTAAGCTAGCTTAGTAATAAGTAGTATGTAAGTTAAAGTAAAATTGTGGTCAGCGAATAAAGGCTTTATTATTATTATTATAATTTTTAAATTTTTTACAAAATTCATAACTCCCCTCTTAAGGAGAGGAGATGGCAACTAACCCCCGGCAGAAGCACAGTCAGTCCGGGTTCAGGGCCCCAAGGAGAGAAACCGGCGTACATTATTATTATTATTGTAACCAATGTCATTATTTCACTTTGCTTTTGGCATTGCAACCCGCTCCAGTAAATCAGCTGTGCAAATGCAACTGTCATTGAACAAAGTAAATACAGACTACAGTCCACATTGTGTTTAAGTTATATGTACCACAGTACGGATAATAAACAGTGCCTACTTAATACAACAGAAGAGAAAAGATAGTAACGCAGATTTGCGGCCCCATTGTTAGCAATATAGCCTATCAAGTCGATCACCCGTAATTCTCCCTCGAAAGCATCGTGTTTATTTTTTTATGGAATTCATTACTATGGCCTAACTGATCTCCTTTCACCTTCACTTACTATCCCTCACTGGGTAATTCTCCGGCGTAAACTGATATCGGCGATGTTACCTTTCCATTTTCACCTATAAAAAAAAGAACAATAAACTTTATGCTAACCCCATAAACTCTACTGTTGGTATTAAGAAATTCAATTAAACACGCATCCTGTGTACACAATCATAATTATACAGCAAACCAAACAATGAGAACTCTCAGAATGTATTAAGTCGTTATAATCTTGTAGCGGATTTATAGATCAAGTTTGACTGGTGGTCTGAGAAAAGGACCAAATACGTTTGAGCCCTAGTTTTGTTTGAGGTTCTGGTGGTTGGTTTTAATCGGTGGAAGAGCGAGATGCAGGGAAGGTCATGTTACGCTGGTGTGCGGGGTAGCAGCTCCGGGCGGGAGCTCAGCGCGCAGCCTCCGCTGTATCGAGCGACCGCGCCCTCTATCCACGTGCTCCATTCACCGGTACAACTCCACGTGTACTCATTTTTACAATATGTAGTAAATTTATAATAAAATAAGATTTTATTGTATAAATAAAACATCCCCCTTTAACCATGATAAAATTTACTTAACACCAACACGAAAGTAAACCTTATTGAAAGTAAAAATAATTATTTAAATGGATTCAAAATTAGCGGAAATATTGTGTTATAGATAACAAAGTACAGGCAGATTGAAATCGTTTAAAAAGAATATTATTAGCATTTAGAAATTATAATAGCAATTGAAAAATTAAAATTAAAAAGTCAAGTAAGATTTATAAATATTTATTAATATACACCATTTTATTTTTCTTTCAAAGTGGAGTTGTTTAAAGAAATTTATGTTGGCGCCCAACGTGGGACTCGATTTAAATACGAACAAGATTTTAACTATGCTTTTTAAAAAATATTTAGAGGAGAATAGCCAACCTAACGACTACATTTATAATACACCCACACAAGGTCGCTCGTAAAGAACTTTTGCAACGTTCATTATGACAATAATATTCTCTTTTTTTCCTCTGAAAGCATTCGAGGCTTTGCCCTCTTTTGTACGCATGCGCACTTCAGTAGAGGAAGCTCAAGGGATATTAATTTTAGGAGTCTCTGATAAAATATTAGCAGTGTTTCTTAATTAAGGTTTGGACTTCCCTTTTTACGCTTTGGATTACCAGTTCGTCTCAATAAAACCGTTAAATAGAAGCATTATGGAAGCCTTACTTAGCACCTACTAATTGCTTTTTTAATCGACTTCTAAATTAAGAAGATTCTTAATCACAAGTAGATTATATTTTTTGGTAAGTTCGCAACGCAAATTATCCGTATTGAGAATTGATTTACGTGTTTCTTTTTTAATTGACACAAAACACTTTCGTTTTGAATCCATATTTAATTTTTTAATTTTAAAATATATTAAAAAACAAATAAGCTCGCGAAAATAATTCCTAATTGGCTAGTCATGGGCATTTGTCGATTGTTGCCATTGTCATTAATATAACACTCGGCATGCTTACTTTTCATCACACAATTCGTTAGTCTTCTATTTATTTCTTTGTCGGTTATCAAATTGTAACTTTAATATCAAGGGAATTGAGATCCTTTTAGAATCTTACATATAAATCAAATCGATGTCAATAATATTAACTGTAATAAGATTCTTTCTCACAAATATCCGCATACTGAAAGGATATTTAGGAAAAAATTGAATGCTTCCATACTAAATAGACAGTTTGACACTCCATCAAAAATTTCTGTCGTTTTTCATATTCCTTTAGGAAAAATATTCAGTGTTATTGGTAGAACACTCCCTTTAAAGGATGTCAATGAACCTATATTTACTCGTATTTCAACCTGTATTTATTGCATACTAATTGTTTTTGTTTAAAACAAATAAAATAATTGTATCTCACGGCTTCGCCCGCTTGAATCAATATATAAAATATCCTACGTGCTAAGTTAGAATATAACCTGATCGTGGACTAAATTTCATTCAAATCAGTTCAGTACATTCTACGTGAAACAAACTTTTGCATTTATTATATTAATACGATCATTACTTTTTTTATCTGTCTTACATTTAAATAACTAAATCATATAAAAAGCTATATATATAAACTATATATATATAATATGCTAAAGTTGTTTACTAATAGTCAATTATAAATAAAAGGTTATATCTAATATATAAAATTCTCGTGTCGCGGTGTTTGTTACCAAACTCCTCCGAAACGGCTTTACCGAGTTTTATGAAATTTTATATATATATATATATATATATATATATATATATATATATATATATATATTACAAACAAACAACAAACAAATATTTACCAATCACAGCACAAGCTCCATTAAGTAATTCCTTTTGTTTACCGTAAATATAATGGCATACATTTTATGGTGTGTTCCCGCAATGGTGCATGGCATTGCTGATTTCTGAGAAAATGTGTTTCGCAGACGATTTTAGAACACAATATGCCTGTGTTAGTTGATCCTGTGACTTTCACGCACTTTATAAAATAATTTTCAAAATGAGGTTCTCAATTCTTTTTTATTTTTCAACCGACATTGAAAAAATTCTTAATTTAGTTGTTTTCCATTTTTTAACTTTGCTACCTCATAAACATAATTTATAAACCGATTTCGAAAATTCTTTTTAGTACCCTTAGTAGCAGTTTAGTTTTAAAATCAAAATACCTGTTTTTTCCCGAATTGAAATCGGTTTTGCTTTTTATATGGAACACAATTTTAATTAATTGGCTATATTACGAGATTACGATTAGGGACTAGTTCTAGCCCGACTTTAATATTACTTACTAATTTTTATCCGCATCTTCGTCCAGTTAGTATTAGTTGAACAATCGGCATAAAAAGCAACCTATTACCCCCCAGTGGGGAAATGTTTATGTTTCAAAGCAAAATGTATGTTTTATTTGACCTGTAAACCTTCTGGCAGTTGAGAGTAATCATTGTCTTAGCATTTGAATGTTCCAGATAGAGCAGACATTCTATCTGGGACATTCAATTAGAACGCCTTGAATGCATATTAAAATTTGATTGGAGACATCCTCGCTAGTGCTAAAACTAAGATGGCCGAATTCTCCTACTCAGAGAATGACATATTTACTATTACATTTTATATTTAACTAACTGACCGGACAGACATTCTGTCGAAAGCTATTGGACGATGACACTCCGTCCGCAGTTAGGAACAGTTTATATGAGAAAAAAAAATGAAGTTTTTACGTTTTTTCCAGTCATTTTTCCATATTTTCTCTTCATTAGAACCTTTCTTAAACTATAAGGAATATCTTATTGATAAAAAATTGCTGAATCGGTGCAGCCATTTTCGAGACTTGCGCTTAGCAACACATATAGCGATTAATTTTTGTAGAAAGCACATAGATATAGAATATAAATACGTTATTACTAGTTTTTATCACCAACTTCATCCTGACCGGGATATATTTATAAATTTAGTAATTAAAGGAGACGTACAGCGCGATTTCAGAGATGTTTCCTCCCACGAACACTCAGGTTATGGAATGAGCTCCTTGTCGAGGTTTTTCCAAGAGCATACTCTACAGCATATGGTTCTGCAAAAAAGAGGTAAAGAATTTTCTTTAGAATTGGCAATACGTGCGTAATGCCCCTGGTATTGCAAGCGTTTATAGACTATGATAACTGCTTACCATCAGATGGGCCGTATGCTTGTTTGCCACTTCAGTGGTATAATAAAAATTGTAATTAATACTCATATATTTATTATCAAAAATGTTTAATATTAAAAATGTGAAAGTGAAGTTTTTATAGTACCTCTTGGCATTTTAACGACTCGACGAATCGTCATAAAATTTCGGCATGCACTTAGTATTTCAACTGTGTATTTTCGCCAATTAAAATCCCGGTCACAAGGTCAAAGTCGCGGGTGAAAACTAGTATATTAAAAAAAAGTAGTACTCGTCTAATATTTTCAACACAATTCCCGTATAATCCCGGCATAGAATAGACCACCCCTTCTTTTCCCGTGGATGTCGTAAGAGGCATTTAAGGGAGAGCAAGGGATGGGCAGCAGCGCCCCTCTTAAAACATCGCCAAAGCCTAACTGCGATTGCTAATCCGCCTGCCAAGCGTGGCAACTACTGGCCAAAGCCCCCCCCCCCCTCAAGAGGAGACTTATGTTTAACAGTGGACAATTAAAAGCTGATATGATGATGATGACACATCCAATAGCCGTCCTCAATTCATCCGGAACAGTTTTGTAAAGACGTGCATACAAGGCTCAGCCGTGTTCAGAACAGTTGACAGTCGTATCAAAAGGGATCGGATACGCAATGGGACAATGTGGCTACGGAATGGCCTGTCATTGAACAAAGTTCTGATTGCGTCTCATGATTGTACTGCTTATTGCCACTGAAGTTTGTGATGCGGTTCGAACTGGATTGAACTGGCTAAACTAATACAACTCTTATTTGGGATTTAGTGAAAATTACAATTGGAATCAATGCAATGTCAGCTTATTATTTCGTTTCTTTTTTTATTAGATCTTCAGTCTACTCGTATATTTTTGAAAAACCATATCCGCACTATGATTAAAAAATATTTAGACCCTATATTGCCGTGTGGTGGCATATAATAGGCCAATATTTTCTTTCCCTTGGATGTCGTAAGAAACGACTATAGGAGGGCGAGGGATAGGCAGAAGCGTCCCTCTTAAAACGTCTCCATAGCCTAACTGCGGTCGCCAAACCGCCTGCCATGCGTGACAACTACTGGCAATACGCCTCAAGGGGGAAACTTATGTTCAGCAGTGGACAGTTAAAGTCTGAATACTAAATTGATAATCAAAATCCGTTTATGTGTTATTGCGTGACGTATATATAGATAATATCTAATTACAGTCTTATGATTTTAATCAAAAAGTTTTTTTATTTTTTATACAACTTAGAATGGCAAACAAGCTGACGGCCCACCTGATGGAATGTGGTAATCGTCGCCTATAGACAAGAGCAGTACCATGGACATAACAGAGTATACTGTTTCGCCCAAGATACCCCCATGCGTTGCTATTCCTGAGGACTCAGGTGTTATTCCTCTGTACCCAGTAAATTCACGCTATATCCCACCCTTCAAACCGAAACACAACCATGCAAACACAACTGCTTCACGGTTGAAACACGAATGGGACAGAAGTACCCAAGCAAACGACTATTGTACAAAGTCTCCCTTTGGTATCTTCATCATATTAGCCGTTAACTGGCCACTGCTGAGCACAGACGTAAGGCGTAACGACTGGCACAACACCCCTTATGAGGATGTCGTGGGCACACTTAGCAGGTGAGTTGGCAAACGTAGTTAGGTTTTGATGATGTTTTAAATAGGTGCAGGCACTGCTGCCCATTCCTCGACCATTAGTTCCCTTAGTCGCCTCCTACGAGAAAGGGTGGTCCATTCTATACCGGAACCACACAGTAAATTTGGAATTGTCATTAAGTACAAATAAATAAATAAGTCATCGAATATATCCGAGCACTACCATGTCTACTGCTTGGTTATTATTAAACCTTAGGTTAATTCCTTTTGACTACGATATCTGATGACACAAAGCACTATGTCTACTAGCGCATGATCTATTTAATTTATTATCTATGCTCCGATATCAATAATTAAAGCGAACTGACGCGCTGCAAAGCTCCCTCGACTTCATAACAGTAAGCACTTTCACCAAACAGAACGCGTTAAGTACCGAGGCATCTAATAAAGCCAGTAGTTTATTGCTGCGTTAGTCGGCACGCTCCGGCACAAGTCACAAGAGTAAGCGTTTTTTTTTTCAAGAAAAATTACAATATTAATAATATTTGTATGTGACCAAAATCCTTACTAACATTATAAATGTGAAAGTTTGTTAATTTTTTACTTCTTGACCTCTTAGTACTCGTAACTTAAACTATCACTATGAAATTGGACATATAGGTATTATATAGGATAAAGAAGGACATAAGCTACTTTTTATCCCGGTCACACAGAAGAAATCACTGGTAAAAGTTAGTAAAAAATCATTTATAAATTTTTTTCAAAATTCAAAACGATATTTTATAATATTATAAAAAACTAGTAATAACTTTTTATAACTATATCCTATTCGTTATCCTTTTTGATGCTTTTGTTTATTAACATCAGTAATCAAAACAAAATATCAAAATCGATTCAGAATTACCGTAGACATTTCGTAACATACGACTAAATAATATGCCTATTTGCCAACTTTACGATAATACAAATTTAATTCTAAATAATTAATCCATTACTATAGTCAGAGATAGATGAGTTAATTAACAACTCGTGTTTATTAAATAGTACAAGAAATCCTTGAAAAACTGCCAACTGTTTACATGCCAAAGAAAAGACTGCAAACTTTTCACTTTCATACTAATGATATAATACCAGCTAAATATAATAGTCTCCACGTTGTGACATAATATAGAAAGAAAGAAAGTCGCCGTGTAGATCCCGATATAGAATGGGCCACTCCATCCTTTCCCGTGGGTGTCGTAAGAAACGACTATGGGGGCTTAAAGTGGAGGGATGGCATGATATCACAGTTATTCCCATCCCTTATAAATCATAAACTATGCAACGCGAAAGTCTAAAAGTCTTTGTGATTCGTTTAATATACGATGTTTCCAAGCTAAAATAAACAGCTTAGACCTCATCGTCACTTATTAATATACATATATAAAAAACACCCGTGTTCATGCACTAAAAGGAACATACTATTTCATATCTAGATAATCTTGTAAGCACGGAGGGAACAATAATTAATATTTATTTCGAACCAAAATCCATAACATATTAGTAATAGAACTAAAAAAAAACTACTACATTCATATCTATTCAGTCCATATCCAGTGATACAGGATACTTAGCAATATATAGGAATGCTTTGGAATGAGCTCTCTCTACGCTTACTTTTACATAAATTTTAATATTCTAAATTTCTAGTTAAAGCAGATTTATACCAGTGCGAAAGATAAATAAGCGAATCAACCGGCCAGGATAGTGATCCCATCCATATTATAAATAAGATAATTTGTAAAGATGTTTATAACTCAATTATCAAATATATATACAAATAATTGTTTGTAACTCAATCAGACTTAAACGGCTAAATTGATTTGAAAGAAATTTGGTTCACGCGTAGGTTACACATTAACACAGAATACTAAAACTCGCAGTCAAAGATAAATATTATAGCTAACAATAAGATAATTTAGTACGAGAAAGTTCCATGCATTTTCAGTGAGAAGTTAGTTGTGTTGATAAAAATATAAAAAAAAATCCCAACAACTTGAAAATCGTTTAAAACATAAAACGTTTTTTTTTACGTATTCATCGCCTCCCACTTATCACTTACACCCATTTATATACTATTTACAGCGACCTCATGAACTTACTTGATAAAGTTCAGCGATTTGAAATTCCTTTTCATGCAGTAAGTATACTATGTAGCTGTATTGTGGGAAACAGAATTACGAATCACTTTAGATAGCAATCAATCATATAACTTCGTTTTAACCGATTTCAAAAAAGGAGAAAGTTTTTAATCTTGTGGTTTTTTTTTTGTTTATTACCTCGTAACTCCGCAATTTATAAATCGATTTGGTAAATTATTTTTTATCTATTGATATTATCTATTGTATTTTTTATATATTAGAAAAAATATACTTACAGATTTGCCAATATAAATTTTATTATAGTTTAGTTTTTAAATAAAAATAACTGGTTCTACTACGATTAAAGTCGGTTTTTTATGAAACGAAATTTTAAATTATTTATTAATTAATCTTCACACTAGATTCCTTATAGGGTGCATATAGTCCTTCATCATCTCGGATTCTATCATTACATCTCTTGCTTCATTACTTTCATAACTCATCTCATGCAGACGCGTAGTTTCCGGATCTCCGGAATTTTATCAAAAGTCAAGAAGATTCTTAAATTTTGATAGAACATGATTATAATAGCTTAGTACATGAATTCCGTCATGTTTAACAGAAACATGAACTACTAATCTCAGGAGAAATATTGGATGCAGAAGCTGGGATGTGTAGGTGCGCTGGTGCAGGATAAGTTTTTTTTTTTTTAAGATGATATTGAAGGGGTAACCCCTCCTGCACAATCGGTATACACTGGTGGGCCACCAGTGAGGGACGACAGTGAAAATGAAAGCAGATCAGTTAGCCCATCGTGACGAATTCAACAAGAATTAATAATGATGGTTTACAGGGGGCAACTGCTTAGAAGTCGGCCTGATAGGATATATTGCTAAAAATGAAGCTACTGGTCCCTTATATTAAAACTCTCTTCCCCCCAGGATAGGAAGGTTTGGAGGATAAGCACAACTGACACTCAACCCTGCAAGATGGTGGTAATATGGGGCCTTTACTGAGTAATCCCGATTAAAGGGGCTTCCAATATCATCATAGCCGTTAATTGTCCACTGTAGAATATAGGCTTCCACCATGCGGAAGGTTTTTCCAGTAGTTGCTACGCTTAGCAGGAGGGTTGGCAACTGCAGTTAGCTTTTGATTATGTT